ATATATCAGCCATCTTTTACTTAATACATGGTTTTTCTGTACTGAGATTTTACATCGGTAACTGTGTATACTCGTGGTGATTATAAGGGTGTGGTACCTTGAGAGAGCGTTCTAGGATCATAGATCGGAGTACTCCGGGCTTGGAGTACGTACTCCGGCCTCCGGAGGCCGGAGTACGCGACTATTTCTGGAGGCCGGAGTACGCGGAGGCCGGAGTACACGTGGCCAGCCGGAGGCCGGAGTACGCGGAGGCCGGAGTACGCATGGCCGGCCGGAGGCCGGAGTACGCAAAATTTCCGATCACATAGATAGGAGAATTCCGGGCTTGGAGTACGTACTCCAGCCTCCGGAGGCCGGAGTACGCGACTTTTTCTGGAGGCCGGAGTACGCGGAGGCCGGAGTACGCGTGGCCAGCCGGAGGCCGGAGTACGCGGAGGCCGGAGTACGCATGGCCGGCCGGAGGCCGGAGTACGCGGAGGCCGGAGTACGCAAAATATCCGATCTATGAGTCTAGGATTCTGTAATCATAATAAAAATCATCTCCCACTACTTCTGGCTGCTGGCTACTATATTGTCCTGTCACAGGAGTACTGAAAAATAGCTACTGATGTGTCGGGACATATTCCTAGCCTTGGCCGTTTCACCGTTTGGATTACTACATCCCAGTCTCAGTACACGTCCTCTCACATTATCATTTTCATTACAATGGGTAAGCAAAAAATTAACTTTTCCTCCCGCAACTTTTTCCGGACAAGAATTTAGTATGTGTGTGTGCTATGTACATAAATTATGTGTTGAGCATTTGTAACTAATTGTAATAAATGTGGCTTGTAATTACCTGTGTATTATAATGTTTGTGTAATCCTTGATTGGTTCATGTCTGTCAAACCACACTTTCTCTCTCTCCCTCTCTTCCCTTATAGATATTAATTACATGTCTGCCTGCCATGATTGCTGCACAGTTATATAAATTTATGTATGTCTACATGTCACCGTCTTTCTCTCTGCTGGTTGAAAAGTTGGAAAAGCAGCCCGGCCGAGAGAAAGTAGAGAATCAACGTCAACGCGGTAATAATAGGAACTATGTAATTATGTTACATGGGGTTTTACTGGCAAAACCACGTGGGTCGTGATTTTAAGAGTAAAACCCGTGGTTTTTCACAAGCTTGATTACAGGGGTATAATTCTATGTAAATAGTTGTCCCTTCCAACATTTGAATAAAATTCTGCATCTGGTCAAACCTAATTAAATTAAATATTCTAGTTTATATAAGCGCAAATTAATAAAGAAATGTACATAAGTGGTCGTCCATACACTGGGTAATGTAAAATCGTGATTTTCTCCAACTTTAACATGTGTAACAGAGTTCCGAAACAATAGGTATGAATGTACATGGCCGAGTGACAAAATTTACATTGATAAATTAAATGTAGGATTAATGTTTGTATGTGTTTCCTGTACCTGTACTTTGATCATGGGACCCACCTTCTGGTTCCACGCCACGGAGCATGAGAAACATAACAACGATGACATTGAAGATTCCTGCAATCTTTTTAAAATTCTACATTTAATTATTTAAATTTACTTCAAAACTGATAAGTTTTATCAATATAATTAACTATATGTTTAATTGCATTTTATTTGTCAGACGCGTACAAGAGACAAGTCACCAGACCACAACGGTGATCGCATTGTGTATATATGTACATACAATGCATATATATATATACGTTTAATTCGCAATGACACAACAATTGAGCAAAATTTCCTCAATATAGTGGGATTAATGTACAACATTGAATAAATTGTACTCTATGTTAGAAAAATTTTACTCAACCTTGGGTGAATTTTACTCAACTTTGAGTAAATTTTAGTGAAATTTAGAGTGTATATAATTATTGACTTCGAAACACTGAGCATATAAGTTATCATACATTTTTATAAATATGCTGCTTCTAAATAACACTTAACCCAAATTGTATCCTAATTCGTATAATCTATACGAAATCCTTACAATGTGTTCAATTCCAAATCCCTGACCCCACGTTGTACACCGTGCACAATAACACTTTCCCGACATTTTGTCTAAATATGAAACCTTGACGGATTATGTTGAAAACTTTGTCACGGTGTTAGATTCAGGGTTGGCCAAGATACTTTGATTTTAATATACAAGATACAAAATATTTTCCATGATATCTTAGATACAAGATACTAAGTACAAATACCAAGCATTATACAAGATACAAGATACAAAATACTTTTTAGTAAATGTGCAAATGCAAGATACAAAATGCATTTGTATTTGAAACACTTTTTTCAAGATACAAGATGCTTCATGCGTGGAATGCGACATTATGAACATGCATTAAATTCTCTGGTTTTACACACAGTGGTGCTAGTCTGGATAAAAAAGCATTTTGTATCTTTATTTTAAGAATACAAGATGTTTTTTTGTGTCTTGCATTTCAAATACCTTGACTGAAAAAATTTGTCAAGATACAAGATACAAAATAAGATAAAGAACGTCCGGGAATGAATGGGAATGGTCTGAAAATGTGGTCATAAAATCACAATGAGTTATCGGAATTTTAAACTTTTTGCATATGTATAATACCAAATACGTACCTACATAATTTAATTAATAGCTAAGGCCGCCACACCCCCGTTGGCGACTAGTTCGATTTTCTTGCGAAGATTTTTCATTAAATTTTTTCCCGAAGTTTTTGCCACTTCCGAGGTGATTTTCTTCCATCGTCCTTTGAATTTTCGAAAGGTGTCAGGCACATCTTGAAGCCGGGAGTATACTGACTTAGAACGTGCCCAGAATTTTTCGATTGGGCGGAGTTGGGGTACATTAGGTGGGTTGATATCTTTTGGTACGAAATCAATATTTTTCTTTCTGAGGTACTCGGTCACTTTCTTTGCATAGTGACAAGTGGCGAGGTCAGGCCAAAACAAAACTTTATCATTTTTGTGAAACCTATTAATAAATGCTTCCAATCCAGCCTTGACGCAATTTTTCAGATAAATATCTTGATTGATATTCCCTTCGAGAACTACCGGGTCTGATACATGTCCGTGACTGGAGATGCATTGCCAAATGCAATATTTCTTTGGAAATTTGTCTTTTTTTCGTACTTTTTCTTCATAAGCCACTTCAGAGGGATCCGAGCTATGAAAAAAATGACGCCCTGGAAGATTTGAAGGGTCAACCGGAACATACGTTTCGTCATCCAGGATCACTACTTTTCCACGCATTTTCTTCAACAATTTTTGACAGCAATCCTTGATCCGACTTTCTTGTACGGGCTTGTAATTTGGTGCAGGTTTTTTGGTCCTTGCTTTGATTCCTAATTTATGGACCTTAACTTCCCCCAGGTAGCTTTTGGAAATTTTGACTTTCCTGGCAGCTACAGCTACTGACGTTGATGGCTTGGTTTTGAAAATTTTTTCAATTCTATTTTTCACTCGAGTGGTCGCTAGCTTCGCCGGACGACCAGCTGGCTTCTTGAATTGCACATTTTCGGAATCCTTGAACTTTTTTATGTAGGAATACACATTTGAACTTGGAATTCCTTCCTGCTTAAAAAAGTTCCAGGTCACCTTGGAGTCTCGGTTGGCTGTCGTGTTGTAGAACTCCATCACTCGTTTTGCTAACAGCTCCCTTTCAAACAAGCTTCTTCTACCCTTATCCATTTTTGAAATTTAAGAGTGATATACCAAATTGACCCTAATGAAGTGGGCTTTCAGAAATTTAAATTATTATAGTTCGCGGGTTTATTGATTTGTCAATATACTCGCTAGAGCGCGCATTCCCATTCATTCCCGGACGTTCTTTATCTTGCAAATCTTCCCTTACCAAGATGGGTTCATAGTGTGATCCAATCCCCCCGATAACCGCCCCGACCTAGCCATCCGTACTTAAAATTGAGTACAATCCCACTTGTACGAAGTGTTATTGTACTTAATTTGAGTACGGATGGCTCGCAATGTTTTTTGCGGTACGGCCGTACTTAAATACCGACGGGCGTTTTTTGCCGTGTATATATATATATATAGATATATATATATCGAGTCCGTTTACAATTACTTAACAGAATATTAATTTGTGTTAGTCTTGTTAGTTATCCTCCTCCACCATCATTCTTCTCATTTTTAGTACTTCATTTAAATATTTATAAACTGATTCAGCCTGCCGGATATTATTGCAATTTAAGACATCACAAATACTATCAGCTTCTACATAATTCTCTTATCCACATTCTGCTAGCTCCGTAGACGAGACAACTCCAAAGTATATGAAAAATAGATTCCTCTTCCTTGCTGTTACATATATTACATATGCCGTCAACATTTAACTTATTTATGTATTATCGTGAAAGAAGGATGTTAAATTGAGTCGGACTTGTGCAATCAGGGTGAGTTTTTTAAAGGGTAAATTAAACTGTAAATAAGGATCAGGGCCGGGAATTCCATTAATAAGTTCCTTATAATAGTTGTGTCGTGTTGAGTCGTTCACTTTGCTTGTGTCCTCCTGACTTGATATGTCAATTATTCTTTCCAGCATTGCTGGGATCAGGGCTGCATCTAAAGTGTGCATGAAGTTAGCGTACCCTCCAGTAGCTTGCTCACTTGCCACAACCAGTTTAACGAGTCAAACTCTCCATTCACTATCTCCTTATGTAAGGCAATGAAGCATTTCTTTGTATAGCAATGCTTTATTCTCGCTTGTGTATAATGTGGTCAACTGTTCCTAGTTCTTAATAAGTAAGAGTTGTCTACCTATTACGTATGTACATACGTATGTATCTACGAAATGAGTAATTTAAGATCACCTAACCTTACGTACGTAAAAAAAATTTTTCATGAACATATAGTGGTAAGTACATATGTACTTCGTGGTCAACTCTTCCTATGCAGTGGTTATGTTGCTGAGTAAAGTTATACATGTGTTGAACGCATGAATTTGATACAGCCTCAGTTTAAACCAAATTATGCTTACACTGGTCAGCACCCGTGTTGTATCTATGCTCAAACATATTAAAATCATCCGGAGACGAGTTTTGTGTTCATATAAATTACATAACTTTTGAGCCAGCTGAGTGCTTTGTTAACCTGAACTTTAACAGTTGAGTTATTTATTGGCTTTGAATAATCTAAAGGAACGATGTCGCAAAACTTGTGTTATACACCTTGATTTAGTGAGAGGCTTGTTAATAGATTAGCAATAATTGTGTATTCCGTAATATAACCGGGGTTGGCCAAGATACAAGATATAAGATACAAGATAAAAATATATCTTGTGTAACGTGAGTAGTAAAGAACGTCCGGGAATGAATGGGAATGCGCGCTCTAGCGAGTATATTGACAAATCAATAAACCCGCGAACTATAATAATTTAAATTTCTGAAAGCCCACTTCATTAGGGTCAATTTGGTATATCACTCTTAAATTTCAAAAATGGATAAGGGTAGAAGAAGCTTGTTTGAAAGGGAGCTGTTAGCAAAACGAGTGATGGAGTTCTACAACACGACAGCCAACCGAGACTCCAAGGTGACCTGGAACTTTTTTAAGCAGGAAGGAATTCCAAGTTCAAATGTGTATTCCTACATAAAAAAGTTCAAGGATTCCGAAAATGTGCAATTCAAGAAGCCAGCTGGTCGTCCGGCGAAGCTAGCGACCACTCGAGTGAAAAATAGAATTGAAAAAATTTTCAAAACCAAGCCATCAACGTCAGTAGCTGTAGCTGCCAGGAAAGTCAAAATTTCCAAAAGCTACCTGGGGGAAATTAAGGTCCATAAATTAGGAATCAAAGCAAGGACCAAAAAACCTGCACCAAATTACAAGCCCGTACAAGAAAGTCGGATCAAGGATTGCTGTCAAAAATTGTTGAAGAAAATGCGTGGAAAAGTAGTGATCCTGGATGACGAAACGTATGTTCCGGTTGACCCTTCAAATCTTCCAGGGCGTCATTTTTTTCATAGCTCGGATCCCTCTGAAGTGGCTTATGAAGAAAAAGTACGAAAAAAAGACAAATTTCCAAAGAAATATTGCATTTGGCAATGCATCTCCAGTCACGGACATGTATCAGACCCGGTAGTTCTCGAAGGGAATATCAATCAAGATATTTATCTGAAAAATTGCGTCAAGGCTGGATTGGAAGCATTTATTAATAGGTTTCACAAAAATGATAAAGTTTTGTTTTGGCCTGACCTCGCCACTTGTCACTATGCAAAGAAAGTGACCGAGTACCTCAGAAAGAAAAATATTGATTTCGTACCAAAAGATATCAACCCACCTAATGTACCCCAACTCCGCCCAATCGAAAAATTCTGGGCACGTTCTAAGTCAGTATACTCCCGGCTTCAAGATGTGCCTGACACCTTTCGAAAATTCAAAGGACGATGGAAGAAAATCACCTCGGAAGTGGCAAAAACTTCGGGAAAAAATTTAATGAAAAATCTTCGCAAGAAAATCGAACTAGTCGCCAACGGGGGTGTGGCGGCCTTAGCTATTAATTAAATTATGTAGGTACGTATTTGGTATTATACATATGCAAAAAGTTTAAAATTCCGATAACTCATTGTGATTTTATGACCACATTTTCAGACCATTCCCATTCATTCCCGGACGTTCTTTAATTACGGGATGAATAAGCTGAAAAAATCTTATAATTTACCATGGGGGACATCCATATATCAGTGTTGCCGGTGAGTTCTAAATGAGTTGAGATGAGTTGGCGTTAAATGCATTATAAAAAGGCACTACCATGTGATAAAGTAAATTTTGAGGCATTTTTGAATTCCCAGATAAATTTGAGGTAGAATGGTATAAATTTCAAACAACACAAAAATTTATATATTTCGCATTTTAAGATTGATTTGTAAATGAGTTATAAATGAGTTTTGAGCTCATTTAAAACTCATTTACAAGCAGGGCTCAAAACTACTAATTTGCAATTTTTTTATGCATTTCAAATGTCTACCATTCTACCCCAAATTCAAAAATGCCTCAAAATTTACTTTGTCACATGGTAGTGCCTTTTTATAATGCATTTAACGACAACTCATCTCAACTCATTTAGAACTCACCGGCAACGCTACCATATATTACGTCATCAAACATTCATGATTCTTGTACCCACCCACCCAACGTAAGCATAAAGGGATAGGAAATTTGAACATGGGAAAATAGCAAGACATAAACCACCCACCTAGTAAAATGATGGCGTAATATATGGACCTTCCCATGCGGACTGTATATATGTTATTCTACCTTAATGGTAACAATTTGTTACCATGACGATACTACATATCTCCAACTCTAAGATTTCACGTAACACCAACCCGGGTAAAAATTTACTACGGGTAGATAACAAATTTTTACCATACTGGCAGAATAAATCACCGCAATACATATGTCCTGTTACTAAATTATTTAAAATATAGGGTTTTACAAAAGTTTGTACAATGACTGTTTTATATTTTTTTGCCTGACGAAAAAGGCGATTTAATTTTTAAATCCAGCCAAAAAACAAAAAAAAATCCAAGTAGACATTGTACAAACTTTTCAACAGGGTGTACATATATTCAATATTAATTAGGGGACGGTCCATAAATTATGTCATGCGCAAGGGGGGAGGGGGGTATAAGGTTCCAATGATACCGTATGTTAAAGGGGGGAGGGGGGTCTAGAAAATGGCGATTTTTGCGTGACATAATTTATGGATCTCCCCTAGCATCATTTTTCCAAAGTTTTCAATTTTTCTTCCAGATTTGCCGTAAGTTGTTTAACGGGACGGGTCACCAGTCGATGGCGGTGTTGGGAAACTTTTCTCCAAACGAAGGACGTTGTTTGTATGAAATGGAAGTTCGGGCAGATTGGATCAAGTGGGACGTGAGGAATTTCGCCACGGAGGAATTTCAGCTCCTTGTTCTCAAGGTATGTACATATGGTTATGACTGGATTTAACTCATTAATAGTTTACAGAGGAAATAATACAGCTTATGGACAAATGTACATATTTTTTACGTTTTTATAATTTGTAGGGCAGAGATGACAAAAACTGTCAGGATGAAGTAAAAATGAAAAGATCTCTGGGGGGAGCTTAATGATGGTTTTCTTTAAGTTAAACAGTTGAAATTGTTCAATTGAATTAATAAGTACTTATTAAATTAAATTAATATTTGTAATCCTAAGATGAGATTTAGATGTAAAGAGTACATATGTATGTCGTATGACAAATTTAAAGACAAAATGCAATGTTTAAAAAATGATATTTTTTACTATATGTGGATGACTCATTTTTTAGTTAGTTTGTAGTTCAGAGGTTTGATTAGTTTTTTAAGTAGTTTATCTTGCGTGTCATTTGTGGGAGAGCATGGTCTGTTGCTGTGAACGGAAAACTACAACGGAAAAAAATTGTACTACACTTGGTTAAAATTATGGTAAAGAGTGTTATCTAAACTTGAAGGAAATAATTACCAGCTCGTATGAATTTATTACCAAAATTATGAAGATAACTCAAAATATTGCGGTGGAAGGCTAGTTACCCTGTTGATTTTGTAGGACGAGTAATTACCAAGAGCTCGGTAAAGACGCGTATTAGAAATTCTTTACCAAGTTGCTAAGAGTATGGGCGTTGCTATAGCACCTTATAAGGGTACACTACCAGTACTCAGATTAAGCTAGGCTTATCTCGAAAAGTGAGCATGGAAACAAAACTTATTTTTACAAAATCTTTGCCATAAAACTATTAGGGTTTTGCTTCGCAAGTCACATAACCCGCCAGATAGGCGTGTTTTTTTGTGTAGCCAACCACACCCATAAGGGGTTTGACTTTTTGAATTTCAATCGTGGGACGTGATCGCCTGTACAAGCCAAGATAAATGACATGTCTCATGATCAGGTTTCTAAGCCGTGCATTTGTGTTAACAGCCACACCCCCAGGGGGTTAGGTTTTTTTAGTGAATGATGCCACTGTGATCTTCTTCACAAGATGAGAAGAATGATATATCGCATGGTATGGTTTCGTTAGACGCGATAAGTAGCTGATGACCACACCCAGTGGGGGTGTGGTTTTCAAATTTGAAATACCCAATCGTGATTTCCCCGTCGAGCTGAGAAGAATGATATATCAGATGACGTAGTTCCGTCAGAATGGAAAAGTCACTGATGACCACACCCAGTGGGGGTGTGGTTTCCAAATTTCAAGTATTCAGCCGTGATCTCCCCATGGAGCTGAGAAAAATGATATATCACATGACGTAGTTTCTTTAGAATGGAACAGTCGCTGATGACCACACCCACTGGGGGGTGTGGTTTTGAAATTTCGATTATGCTATGAAGATCCCCTCACTAAGCTGAGAAGAATGATATGTCGTATGCCATATATCAGTTGGGTATTCACAGAAGCGCCGATGGCCACACCCCCTTGTCGCCATGTGTACGATAACGTCATGTCAATCGGATAAGATCCATCAGCCAAATTATGGGTAATGGCGTTGTTTAATTTCAGAAATAACGAAGGTAGGACAATTTTTGTACTTTAATCCTTTGTATTTGCCCTTTGACCACCCCCATATTGACCCAAATGAAGGGGTGCGGCCAGATAATCGCTGGATACGATGACCTGATTATCCCCCAATAATGTGTACCATGACCTTGCCAATCCAGTTTTAGAATTTTAAAATTCGGTACAGAAATGTAATCTCACTTTTTTGACCTTGTGACCTCGACAACTAATGGGTGGGGCCGAATTTCAAAAATTTGAAAATATATATTTCTCGCAACCTATATACAGGTAGTAAATATTAAATTAATATTTACTACCTGGCTGACAGAAATGTGGATTAGTTGTGGATGAAGGAATTATCAAAGGCAATTTTACCTGAATTTACCCACCAGGAAGACACGAGAAAATTTCAATTATCCCAAAGCTGGCCTTATTCTGAGCGTGTTTCAAATTAAATCTCACTAGGTGGAAATTAGCGTTAATTTCTTTTACTTTGATTACGGAGCCTTTTTCAATGTAAGTGGGGCACTAAATATTTATTCCGAATTGAGATTTCTATGAATTTTGTGTTTATGTTTAATTAAGATATTGGGAACGGTTGTGACGTATTTTGTTATCTGTGTGAAATCTGGGGATGCTAAAGAAGCCTCGTGCGGCTTCTTCGCTACTTATACATAAATATTTCGTTTATTTGCAATTACAGAAATTAACAAATTATCCAAAATGATTTTTAGACTGATTTTGATAAAATTATTGTAACCATTGTAAAGTACTATAAAAAATGGTCACGCCGGATTGTTCAGGCATCATGGTATTAATTAAACCCCGTTTGGTAATAAGTGGGAAATTGGGAGGACCTCATTCACTTATTATGTGAGAACCGCTTTACACAGAAATAACCTGCAGGGTCCGCGATACACTTTAGCCTGGGGCAGCAGTCAAATTCAATGTGCTGACATCTAGCGCCTATCGGGAGGCAGGGAATGATCTGTATAAGTTGAAATCAGATTTATTTTTAAAAAATTGGGTTTTGAAATTTTTTAGATTATTTCTTACTCCGCCCCATCGGTGGGATGAAGCCTGATGGCCTGCGACAAGTAGTAATGCAAGTAGAGCTCCTAGAATGAAAACAAACTTCATTTCCGAGCTATTTTTTGGGAATTTAGTTTGGAAGTGTGAACAGCTACTTTGAGGAAAATGGAATGAACGCAAATTTAATGTGGTGCAAGGATTATTTTGTATGTACTGCTTAAGGACAACCTTCAGATTCCATATTGTTGTATATGTAATCATGACGTCAAGTATACGTTTAAAGCAATAAAAATAAACTGTTACATATAACGAAGCGTAAAAAAGGGGCGAAGCTGTTACTTTGTTTTTTAGAAATATTTACTATTTAATTCTCAAACTCGGACTATGCTTTATGTCATTTTACACAATTGTCTCAATGTACCATGTCAACGTCTCATTCTGCCCCATGTCCAAATGGTATTCGCGAAATTTTAACCTACATACCTGATCCATACCTTATCGATATAGACATGGCGTATGGCAAAATTTTGTTTTACGAAAGGCCACAAACGCCACGCATCTACTTAAATTTCTTCTGTTACCTATCCACTAAAATTATCTCGTTCAATAAGACCTTTTGGAACCTTTCCAAATTCTATTTCCAATTTGTGATCTTAAGTAAATGGTGGTTACGTCCCTGCAAATTTCAAACCGGTTTGTGAAAAATACATGTCGTACATTACATACATACTGTTCCCGGGACGATTTGATCCAGACTGACGACGGACACGGCTAAACCATAAAAGACCTGCACCACTTAATACATAACTTAAACAACAATAGCGAATAAATAATTTTTGTTTGTGACCGTCGATTGTTATGAGTTAAAAAATACACAATTATACTTTACCACCTTGCCCTTATTTTTTTTACTTTGAGGATATAAAAAAATATTAAACGCCTATCCATCCATTTCAGGTTAGAAAATTTATAATTATTTACATAATGAAAATTTGCAGACAATTATATTTAACCCAATGGTGGCGAGATGCGTAGTTTTATGTATGCATCAACCCGAGCGAGAATTAACCCTCGACCTACAGAAGAATAAGAATAAGAAACTGTAAGAAGATGTTTTTACAAGGAAGAGTTGGTAATCTGCTCTTATACATAAGTATTTATATATGTACATACATACATATATGTGTGCAGCCACCAACTTTGTATGAAGCCAATGTAAATGAGAATAATATTTAAACAACCAGGTGACAAGATGAGATGGTACTACACTCTGCTGCAAAAGTCTTTGAGCATCAATATAGCACCAAATAATTCCTCTGAAATTTCTGCTCTAATCTTATATTTATATTTGTTTATTTTTATTTATATTATATTTATATTTTATACTAATCTTATATTTGATTGTGGTTATTTTTTGGTCAAAATGAGGACAAGCATGGACCATTCTAATGAAGATGCGAGAATCCTATAAATTATTTTTGTAAAAAAAGAATCTTCGGTGACGCAATACGAATCTCGAATAAAAAAGCAAAACAAGGAATTTTTTGTTTTCAATATTACAGATATCGGATATGAATACGAAAATTTTTGACCTATACAAATTTTAGTTTCACATTGAGAAGTTGCGTCACCGTGGGCCCATCAACAAAAATGGCATAGTTGATAAATTGTTTGGAGTGGTTTAAAACAGGTTATGTTCAATATAAATAATGGCAATATGTGATCACAAGAATACTACTGTAACACTTGCGGTATATTTTATTTAGAATCATTTCATAGTAGAATCTTACACAGGTTCACACAAATTAGAAATCTTAATTTGTCCTGCTGCGTCGTCAAAACCAACCCGTTCGGTCGGGCCAAAAAATCACTTGCCTAAAAATTGTTATTTTTAAAGATAATGGGCCCACGGTGACGCAACTTCTCAATGTGAAACTAAAATTTGTATAGGTCAAAAATTTTCGTATTCATATCCGATATCTGTAATATTGAAAACAAAAAATTCCTTGTTTTGCTTTTTTATTCGAGATTCGTATTGCGTCACCGAAGATTCTTTTTTTACAAAAATAATTTATTTTAGGTTTTAAAATGTCTTTGAAACTATCACTTGTTTGTTAAATGAAGGAATTATTTTATTGGAAAAAGTAATGGGCTTGTTACTTATGTACAATATGGGCGAGGCAGTGTAAATGGGGGCGAGAATGAGTCATCTTACTGGAATTATTCCTCCACTAAGAAATATGTATGTATGTCTCAAGTCGACTTGTTAAGTTCCGTCTATACGAAAACAATAGAAAACGTTGCATAAGTCATTCCTTCATTAAACAATGCTAATGCAAAATTGTAATAAGATATTGGCTTGAACCAAGGTGCGTACATGTATGCTGATCCAACTGTACATACATATCTATACATATCTATATATATATACATTCATACATACATACATGCATACATATGTACATACATATGTACATATTTGCAAATACTACGTACCTGACACGCCTTATTCCTCTTAATGTATTTTTAAATGGTACGATATATGGACTCTATATTCTGTATTCTTGAGTATTTACCGCTCCAACAAAGTTATGGGAATGGGAAAGTATGCATGTGGGAGAAGAAGTATATATTTTAATGTCAAGTTTGCATTTGGGAGGTCAAATATGTATGTAGGGGTCAAGTTTGCATTTGGGAGGTCAAATATGTATGTAGGGGTCAAGTTTGCAGGTGGGAGGTCAAATATGTATGTAGGGGTCAAGTTTGCAGGTGGGAGGTCAAATTTGCATGTGGGAGGTCAAACATGTATGTGCGGGGGTCAAGTTTGCATGTGGGAGGTCAAACATGTATGTGCGGGGTCAAGTTTGCAGGTGGGAGGTCAAATTTGTGTGTGCGAGGTCAAATATATATGTGCGGGGTCAAATTTGTATGTGGGAGGTCAAATATGTATGTAGGGGTCAAGTTTGCAGGTGGGAGGTCAAATTTGCATGTGGGAGGTCAAACATGTATGTGCGGGGTCAAGTTTGTATGTGGGAGGTCAAATATGTATGTGCGGGGTCAAGTTTGCAGGTGGGAGGTCAAACTTGTATGTGCGAGGTCAAATATATATGTGCGGGGTCAAATTTGTATGTGGGAGGTAAAATATGTATGTAGGGGTCAAGTTTGCAGGTGGGAGGTCAAATTTGCATGTGGGAGGTCAAACATGTATGTGCGGGGTCAAGTTTGCATGTGGGAGGTCAAACATGTATGTGCGGGGTCAAGTTTGCAGGTGGGAGGTCAAATTTGTATGTGCGAGGTCAAATATGTATGTTGGGGTAAAATTTGCCAAGTAAATGTGCGTAAAAAAAGTACAAAAATTAATAATATTAAGGGAATCGAACCTAGCACCAAGTAATCCAGCTTCGCGACTTTTATCGATTGCGCCACCCCGTCCTATTGACTGAGCATATAGCTCTTTGCCAAATGTATTTACCACTAAATATTAAGTAAATGTTTTAATTGCCCTGTCACCCATTCAATTGACCTTGTACATAAAAGTGTATCAAAGAAAAAAAATCGCCCTTGACCTGTAGATTCTAAAAAACAAATATGTTTATAGCGAAAGTTTAAGTTTTATTGCACATTAACCATGGTCAATCTTTCAAAAATCGATTTCGATGGGAAAAACTCAAAAATCAATATTTTTGAAAAAAGATGACACTGGAAGGTAATTCTCTGATAATTTGCTCTCTTGTCATTTTTCTCTCCGATGCATCGTTCAGACGTGAGAGCTGTGCGACCTTTTGGATGCTCGTTGGGAACGCATTCTTCTGGCTACGCCGGGCCCCACCTGAGCATTTGTATGCTCGTGCGGGGCCACACTTTCAGTGTGTTGCGTACCGAAGAAAAACGAGCATTATCCTATCCGCTAAAGCAAATTTGTGACATACCCAAACATATCGAGGCCATGGGGCAGCAAAAAATTCTCCAGAGTAGCTCGATATAAATAAGGAAACCTCAGTTATTATATTATTTTTAATTAATTCAGATTTCGGCGATCTTTAATCATCGTTATTTATTCTCTTTATGTTGCATCGCATTATCTGAATTTTTGCACTACTTGGGTACCCTGCATTGCAGCAGTTTATTTTAAAATTGTCCTGCTCCTGATTCTTAATTATTTTGGCTGACAATGGAACCTTTTTCCAAGCCACACCGGGATCGAGTAGCGAATTATGTCAAAAATAAAGCCAAAAAGGATTCACATGACGCTTATGCTTCCCTTGAATGGCCCCTTTGAAGAAAAATATTGACGATGAAGTTCAATTTTTGAGCAAATTTTCCCTTGCTTTTGCCTCCACGGGGCGAAAACCAAGGCGCTCGTGTGAACTTTGACCCCCAATATTTTTCTTCAAATGGGCCATTCAACGGAAGCATAAGCGTCATGTGAATCCTTTTTGGCTTTATTTTGGACATAATTCGCTACTCGATCCCGGTGTAGCTTCAGAAAAGGTTATACATATTCTGAGTTGGATTGACTCTATCTTTTGAGCGGAAGGCAAACAGGACAGTCGGCTGGCGTACAATGTTTCCAATGCGATAAGATTCGACGAGAGGTCAAACAATGCGTGACCGTGCAAGATTTTCCGGCACGGCAGGTAACCATGTGCGCCAACACGTCCTTCATTAACCGACAATACGGAAGGGTACACTGCAAAATATGTAAAATAGCCATGCATTAACAAATTTTAAGTGTACATATCAGTTCATATTTTTTGCAAATGACAAGAAGAATTCAATAGCTCCAATTCTACGCGGGCCGTCCATAAATTACGTAACGCAAGAGGGGGGGTCTAACTCTCCAATGATGTCATGCCTATGTTACGCATCTTAAAAGGGGGGAGGGTAGTCTAGAAAATCGCTATTTTTGCATTACGTAATTTATGGACGGCCCCTAACAATAATTCAAATAATTAATCATTCATTTTACCTCTTTACCATTGAGAGCTTGACTTTCCAGTCTCTGACACTTGTGTGCATGCAGGAGCAGGATAAGTTGTTGTTGGATCAGTTTTCCCTTTGCGGGATCTATATTTGATAGTGGGGCAGCTTTTAGTTGATTATTGAGTGGCAAAACATTGTTGACAGGTTGTCCTTGGTTCTGACGCTGAGCAGTTTGCATCATAGGAACACCATGGTTCACGGTGTTCGGGACACCGCTCCCCCTGTCGCCCAGGAAGTTGAGAGATTCAAGCAAGGCTGATAAATCTGCAACGTTAGTTTCATCCCTAGAAGGAACAGTTTTCAATTAATTAATGGATTTTAGTCAATGGCAATTAGCTACATAAGTCACTAATTAGTTGATTTGGCAAATGAAGAGTATAATTTAAAGGTTTTAAACTTACCAACGATGGATTCCGTCACGGGCTTCTTCAGTGTTCATAATTCTGAAATTTATATAATGCTGATGTTATACATTTATGTAACAGAATTAAAAAGGTTGTAATACATGTAGAGTAGTCAAGGTTTGTGGATTAAGTATCATCTGGGACTATGAGTGGGCAGATTAATCTGTCGGACCAGCTAGATTTCATTTTCTTCCAGCCACCAAAATTCTCAAATCAATTATAGCCATGGAGGATCACAAACGATTATAATTCAAAATATACTCGTACAAACGAATATACCCAAAACGAGAAAATGTTTAATTCATCATAATTTAATACTACTTCTGACCATAATTATTACTTTTTTCCTGAATACTCTCTCTCACCATAATAAAGTGCTTGGTTGTTTATAATAATTACTCGATTTTGCCATAAGTAAAAACATACTTTAAAATCGTTTTAAAATATGAAATTTGAATAAACCTTACAAACTTTTCTATTTTTAGTCATCCACAAATTACTACATAGGTTTTTCTGAACTATCACGGTTGCTTTTCCATTAAATTGGTATGCATTTAGCCTGGGGTGGAGGGTGAAAATTTTTAAGTTTTATAGCATTATGTGCTTACAAACTATGTCTTAAACTATGATGGACATGTGCAGATGAACCTATGTATTTGTTTGCAGTCAAGGAATTGTCAAAATAATCGATATGGGTGGCTCTCGGAGATTGAAGTAGTTGATACCCGTGATGGAGAATTTCAAATGCTTTTTCGAAAAAATTTAGCTATGACAAACATTCCTTTATCTTTGCAGCAAATAAAATCAAAATCGTCTTATATGATATAAGATGACTTTGATAGAAGTTATATCTCTCTATGGGTAATTGCAATAATTTAAGGATTATTAAATTAGGTAACCGGATTCGGTTATTTTTATTACAATTTGCAGTGGTAATGGGTCTCATTCGAATTTTAGAATAAATTTATACAATTATCAACAGATATGTATCTCATCCGTAAATTTTTCAACTTTTTATCGAAATATTTCCAAGTACTATGTTTAAAAAATACATTTTTTACACAATACTTGTATAATCCTTGCTCTGACATGAAAAACTGAAGAGAATTCGCCAATAACTTGGCTATGGTCGACGAAGAATTTATTATGAATAAGTTAGTATTCCAGTTACGGTCGAGTTGGATTCCATTATGATGAGATGGAGTATTCAGGAAAAAAGTATTAATTATGGTCTGAAGTAGTATTAAATTATGATCAGTTAAATAGGACCCATAAAAAAGTAGCGCTGGCACGATAGAAATATCCTTTAAAATGACCGCCTATTAAGTGTTTTTGACAATTGACCTCAAGAGGTCAACAAATTTTAATGTCCTTAAACTCTAGGTCAAATTTCCTTCAAAATGACACCCCATATGAAAATTAAGATTACATTTTGGACCACACCCCCCAGCGCAGTGGGGTGTGGTCTGATGGTCCCCATTTAAGAACTTGACCGAGGACTAGAAATTAGAAGCACAACGGAATTTGATTATGTTAACTCTTTCTGGAGATATCCTGCTTATGGACAGACGGCGGACGGACAAAACGATACCAATAAGTTGCTCACGCTATTTAATACTCGTATATTTAGACTATTTTTTTATATAAAATAATGGAGAATTTTTACCCGATTACAATCAGGAATCGATGATAATCCATATACAAATAATCGTTAATCTTGGCTACCCTTATAGTATTTAAAATCATTTTAAATACCGAGACATAATTCAAATTTTTGCTACTTTTGCACATAAGTTATAGGAACGTAGTTAATATTGTTAAAAAATTACTAAAATGTATTATGCAATTAATTAATTAATTATCCAATACTTAACTCTGCAATAAGTAAGACAAGTTTTTTTAAAATATTGTTGAGCAGCTGCACAATTCAACCTGCTGGTTGAATGTTTGAGATTTGTTCCTCGCCACTGACGAGAATGTCGATTGTGGATTATTTTTTTGGGATGACGTGATTCGTAGGTTTATTATGCTCTGGTGTAGGAGAGGGTCGTGCAGAATTGATGACGCTGATTTTCGAGGTTTCTTTCCAAATTACGAATTTATATGACTTGTTACTCATTTTTCCCTTCCTAATTCGTATCTTCGAAATAAACCCCGAAATCAAAGACATCAGTTCTGCACGACCCCCTCCTTTACTTTCAGCAAGGGACTGTTATTATGGAAACACTTAACAGGCGTACACGCCAAAAATATTTGAATGGCCACGTGACGAACCCTGCTCCCTCAACTCTATGTTGGGGTATGAAGAGAGTCAGGATTTGATTGGCTTAAGTCTTCACGTGGGCATTCAAATATTTTTGGCGTGTACGCCTGTTAAGTGTTCCCATAATATCCATTGTTTCGTTCTAGTTTTTTAATCACTGTCCAAAATAGCAGGCCTAAATTGATTTTGGTCATTTTGGACACTCAGTTTGGGACGTCGAAAATATCCCAAAGCGTGCAAGATAGAAAATTCAAGGAAGTGGCGACATGTTCTTTATACACATTTTGATAATGATATATTGATGAATTTGCAATCTTACATATTTGTCATTTTTAGAATTTGGTGTCTAATTCGGCCTTGTTTAAACAATTTCTGAATTTCACGTAAGAACATGTGTTTAATGACATATAGGTTTTTTCGCTACTATTTTGCATCACTCAGTGTTGTTGCTAAACTTAATTATTAATGGGCGTACTCACGACAGTGTCTTATTTCGCATCGCAACTTATTTGGCAAACTTGCGAAGATCAAAATCAAGGTTTCGGGTGACACTGATAAGTGACATTAAGTCACTGACATTAAATGACATTAACCGGTTGTTGTCACTTGACATTCGGTGGCATTAAGTGACAAGTGACATTAAGTCATAAATTGGGGCAAAGTGAGAGGGAAATCAGCGCAATCATGAAATTTTTTATCCCAGCCAGTTTTGTTAAGGCAAAATAACGTTTTCAAAATGTTGTATTTTTCGCGAGCAATAAGAAGCACAGTTTCCTGGTCTATTTATAATAGCAAATCTAGCAACAAATCTACATTCCAAGAATCATATTAATTTTTTTCAAAATATACCGCTGTCAAGTTAAACTACTCTCAGCTATTTAAAAAAATTCAATCGTAACAAAAACAAGTTATTGTAAATTGCATTGTTATTGAAAATTCATAAATTATACATGTAGGTGCAAGTGCCAGATAATTATTACATAAATACTAAAATCCATGCACATTTACAAAACTTGCAACCATTATAATTTTGAAAAATTTCTGTGCACAGGTGCAATAAATTGACACGGGCGACTTTCACTTGTGTACCATGTCATTTCCGAAAGACGACTTTTGTCTTTTTCGCAGTGGTAGTCCTTGATTCGCTTTTTACTGAGCAAAAGCTTATAAAAATTATTGGTAAAGCATAGTTTATCTGCTTTCTGCACACTTAAAGGATTACGTTGCCTTGATATCTGATCTAGGTCCCCCCAATATCACTTTAAAATTAAAATTATGTCTTAATTTATTATGTGAAATGATGAATTTTAACAAATTTTGCCTTCAAACAAACCGGCTGGGATGAAAAGTCTCATGATCCGAGCTGAATTCCCTCTTACTTTCCTCCAGTTTATGACTTAATGTCACTTGTCGCTTAATGTCACTTAATGTCGGTTATTGTCACTTAATGTCAGTGTCATGGCATTAGGCCCCAAAAAGTGGCATTAACGAAACCTTGATCAAAATACATATTTATGTCGTGTGGGGATTCGCAAAATATGACTTCGCCAATCTCTCCAATCTACCGAAAAACACCTACATATTTATTTTAACATTGTTTCTATGGATTTCTTTAGTTTCTCTTGCTAACGGTAATGAGGAGGAGTTTGCGAAGTAATGTGGCGAAATAAGAACATGTCCAATTGCTGGGTAAATTTACGAAAGAAAAAATATTCCAGCAAATTTTTTGCGAAAACTAGCGCAAAACTTCGCAAGTCATGTTGCTATGCTCAATTTGCAAGAAATGCGAAGCTTGACGTGAGTACACTAAATATAAATTAGGCATGGAAAAAATATAATTGAGCTTACCTCTTGCTCAGGGAAATTTGTCACAATTTATCGACTTTTGAAGACAAGTTTTTATTATAAGTTTAAAGAAATTTTTTATTTGATTGTCTGCTCTGTCGTGAGGTTAGTTTGTAACTGAGGTTAGTAAAGACATTAACCTAACCAATATAAATGTGGTATATCGTCGTACTAATTCTAAAAAGGCCTAAGTGCAGCAGTGTCTTTATTTTAAAAAGGCCTATGTGCTCAATAAAAAAAACTTAAAAAACCGACGTGCATTCGCAAATTACAAATTTATTTAGAGTTAATTATTTATAAATAAATAAACATTGAATAATTAACTCTAAATAATTAACTCTAAATTTATAATTTGAGAATGCACGTCGGTTTTTAAAATATTTTATTGTGCACATATGTAGACCTTTTTAAAATAAATACACGTGCAATTCTAGATCTGGCTTGTACTGAATATTTTGTACACATTGAATATTATTTGCTATAATAAATTTGTCGTGTGACATTTTAACAAATATTTTATTGTTCCAAACTTTCGACAGCTTACTGCTATCTTCTTCATGGAGTGATAATGAATAAATGTAAAACACAAGTGGTCAAATGACATCTTACAATATTTCAAAATACAGTGTAAATAAGAAGGCTGCTGTGAAAAGTTTTTTTGAGGATTTAGGAAGAATTTTTAGAGTAAAAGGATCAGTGTCGGTGCCCAGATAAGATTAAGCTGCATTCCATCATTTAAATTATATAATTTTGAAATATATTTTTCCGTAAGTTCAAAATTTTGATGAATAAACCATACCTTACATGTTATCCCATCACTTGATGCATTCGTTGCGTACTGCATGGCCATCGTGTGAACGGCCTCTCTGAAATATTTATTTATCTAAGAAGGAGAGCTTCCGCACCCGCCCTTCTCAGATCTTGATGTCCTTTGGATATGTGGTAGGGTGTCATGAGGGTACTAAAACCATAAAATGGTTTGACTCCATGGCCAGATTTGCACCCGCCACACACACTCAAAGGTGTCAAAAAAACGGTTTCACCCCAGCTTTCGCTAACTCGAATTATACGCCGAAAATCAGATTTAAGTCTTATTTTGAAATTTCTTTAACCATTATACTCCCAGATAGGTGTTTTTTTATATCCAAGAACAACCTCAACGTGTTGGATTATTTCACTGGCAAATTGGCGATGTTGATTACTACAACAATGTTCATTCAGAATTTGAAATTTTAAAAATAGGAAAATTTTCCAAAAGTTGAGTCTCCTGTTGGATGTCTATCTGTGAGTATAAAATTCAAAATAAGAGTAAAATTGGATTTTTGGCGTGGATTTTAATGAGTGAAAGCTGGAGTGAAAGCGTTTTTTGGGCACCTTTGAGTGGGTGTGGCGGACGCAAATGTGGCTATGGAATAAAACCACTTCAGGGTTGTTGTTAATTCATGGGACACTATAATATATCCAGAGAACATTGAGATCCGTGAGTTGATAGTACGCAACCTCCTCTCCTTAAAATTTACCTTTAGAATTCTTCTTCACATTGTTTAGGAAAAGGTTCACTTTCTGAAGCTATAGATCTGTCGTGCTCCCTCAGGGTCTTTGGTTTATGACACTGCAACCTTTCTGATTTTGTACTCAAGCTCTAAATCATAAAATAAAACCAGTCCTTCATATGGTTTTTGTATATTTTTCGTTAAATAAAGAGCAACTATATTTAATAATAATTGTAGCTCATCAATTTATACGTGCATTAATAGACAATTAACTAAAATTTTAATTATTTCCTTACGCTTTTCCTGGAGTCACTTGATCATAAAAATAACACAATTTTAACGTGTCCAAGTAAAACACTTTTGTAACCAAAGCCGGATCTTTTTTAGATTCCTCCACAGTTTGGAAAGAACTACATATTAATTAATTAACTAGTTATCCCCTGACAGTGCTTATTTAACTTCAGCATTGTCATGTCTAACACAGAAACTAACTTGGTGAGTGATTTTTTAAGTACTATTAAGCAGAGCAGAGGATCATTTGTACTTATAGAAATAACCCCAATAGCACAAATCTACCGATTGTGTACAAGTCTTGTACCGAAAATCCGGTACAAGTTTGGTTCAGATTTGCCGATTTTCCTTGTACAGGATGGGCACCAAACTTTACTGCATGCATGAATAGCCTTTACAGGAACTGTACAATACAGATACAAGAATTTTGTGCGTACCTGTAATTCTGGTACAAAAACTATGCAAAATAGGTACAAGAATTTTGTGCATGCAGGTAATTTTGGTGCAAAAACTGTACAAGTTTGGTCAACGCATTTTCTGTATGCCGGATAATCTTGCATAAAAAAGGGACAGAGTTAATAATATATCAGATACATACATTTTATTATTTTGATTTTAAATTGCAATTATATATCATGTATAAACTTGGATGTATGAACTTTTCCAATAAGCTAACAATTTTAATTAGTAACTATTTATATAAGTACGTTAAATTAAGACTTAAAATTAATACTTATTTAGTTATATTACAATAAAATCATGAGTAAAATGTTGACAGCAAAATAATTTATGTAAATCAGACTAACCACCAAAAGCCGAAGATTCTGGGACTGGAATTATCGGAGGTGGGGGTGGCTGATTTACAGTATGCGGTGAGGCATCAGTGTCAGTTGTATCAACATCATGTTTCGTTCGTAAATCTTCCGATTTCCGTACCGCTTTATCGTAGTCGTCTGTAACAGTACAACAACGAGAGTTAGTTACAGCCCGATTCATATTGCACAAGTAGAGGTTAGACAAATTACTTACCGTAACTTTTATGAACTTTAACTTTATAGTATTTGAAGTTTTTGTCAGGAAGTGAGAATGGATCACATTGCAAATCCAAGGGATTTTTTACTTTTCTGCCTGGCCAGGCGCACTCCGTCGAATCACTTGATAACCAATTGGAAGGAACGACTGCAAATCTGTTGTCCTTCTCAAAATGAAGAATGACAAAATTTTTATATCGGTCTTCAGCTGTCATTATCTGTCAGGGCTTGATTTGTAGAGCACGTCACGGTGGAATTATTCAGGTAGACTGATGGTGAAGGTGGCAAATCAAGATCAGCGCATTTACTTTGACTTGGACAAAAGTTACAAGATGCCGCTGCCACCGCAAGATTTACTTGCACAAATTTTGCATGAAACTTGTACGATGATTTCTTGTACATTCAAAACATGTACCAGACTTGTACATGCTTCTTGCATACATGTCAGTCCATGTTTTACTTTTGCAAGTTTGGCACATGAAATATTTGTACAAATTTAGCCGGTATCACACTTGTGACTATCTTGTACAAGTGTTTTTTGTACATGCGAATAGCTATACCTTGTGTACCAAAATTGTACAGAATTGACTGGTGCAGATCTGTGTAGGTGAGACAGGTACATGTATTGTATGAAACTAATATCAAAGTAACTGGTACCGGAAAATGGGTACATGTAATGCATAATAACTGCACAAAAAAATTTTATACCAGATTTTCTTGCTCTATTCCGGCATGCATACAGGAAATTCCTGTACCAAACTGGGATTTGTGCTATGGGGGAAATTCAGCTCATTTTTTGGAAGATGGTGAATTTAAGTTAACTTTGAATTTTTAATTTCACACTTTAATTTGGAATCACTTAGCTGACAATGGAACCTTTTTTCAAGCTACCCCTGGATCGAGTAGCGAGTTATGTGAAAAAATCAAGCCAAAAATTAGGAGTCACATGACGCTTATCTTTCAGTTGAATGGCCCCTTTGAAGAAAAATATTGGGGGTCAAAGTTCACACGAGCGCCTTGGTTTTCGCCCCGTGGAGGCAAAAGCAAGGGAAAATTTGCTCAAAAATTGAACTTTATCGTCAATATTTTTCTTCAAAGGGGCCATTCAAGCCAAAGATAGGCATGATGTGGCTACTAATCTTTGGCTTGAGTTTTTGGTATAACTCGCTACTCGATCCTGGTGTAGGTTGAAAAAAGGTTCCTTCGTGAGTCTAGTTTCGAGTAATGTTCTTCCGTAAGGTCAATGGTGTCTGTTGAATTTAACAATCTTACTTATTACGTATTACTTACTTATTAATTACGTACATGTTACTACACAAATTTAATTTACTTCAGTTAGTAAATTAAATATACTAAACTTGACTGTTTCCATAGGTATCTAATAATATGGAAGTTTTGCCTCCAGAAATACTGGATCTTTCACATTTTCTGATATACATGGGGCAGACGTTAAGAGAGCATGGGAAACCAGAAATCGGATTAATGTTTATCCATGCAAATTCTGGCGATGGAATCAAATTTCGCGTAAATATTTCGACCCCACTGGCAAATTTGAAGCCAATCTGTGCTGCAAAATCTGTAATGGGATTAAAATTTAAGAAAGGATATTGAACTAATGCATATTTATTTAAATAATCGATATTTGCATTATAGAAAGTGAAACTATCCGAATTGCGTTTCCTATACGATGGTAAACGCATTCAGGACGATCACACTCCACAAAAGGTTCGTATGATATGTCACAATCGATTAAGAAATTTTGCTCATTTACTTTTGTATCCCATATTTTAGTTGGAGATGGAAGAAGGTGACGTTATTGACATTTTCAGGGAAATTAATTCATTCCGTGCATATGATTCCCGTGAAGAATTTATGAACGCTTTGGTACTTCAAGGCTCATGGAGTTAAATTCCAGGTTTCAAAAGTTATCGACCTGTGCAACATTCACACGCCAAGAAACAAATTATATGTAGTTTGAACATCTTCTCATTGTCAATCTATACTGTTACATAAAGCATTATTAGATTTCACTAACAATGCGATGGTGTGAAGCGTAACCCTCCGATTTGGTTGAAATTTTGAAATTACGTGGTCCATATCAATAGAACCAAAGTTTCTTCTGGCAGTTTGTGCGACGGGCAGAATTTGCCAAAATATTTGAGGACAAAGTTGAAAAACGGGCGATTTTGACCTAGCGGAGCACGTAAACTCGACTTCAATTCTCTTCCCGTGCTAAAAATCAAATATTTTTCTACTTTGGCCTAAAATATTTTTGCAAATTCTAACCGTTGCACAAACTATCAAAAGAAACTTTGGTTCTATTGATATGGACCAAGTAATTTCAGAATTTCAACGAAATCAGAGGGTAACACTTCACACCATCGCATTGTAAGTATTTACTTTGCCGTCGCGTCAAAATAAATTTATGTCACACATTAGTGGGACATGTGCAACGTACAGTGGGCGTACTCACGACAACGTCTTATTTCGCATCGCAACTCATTTAGCAAACTTGCGAAGATTAAAATATTTCTGTAGTGGGGTGACTCGCAAAATATGACTTCGCAAATCTCGCAAGTCTATTGGAAACCTCTATTTTGGTATTGTTTCAATGGATTTCTGTAATATCTTTTGCTGACAATGGAGAGGATGAATTTGCGAAAGGCTAATTTTGCGAAGATAGAACGTTCATTTGCTGGGTAAATTTGTGAAAAAAAATCCTTTATTTATCCAGCAAAATTTTTGCGAAATACCGCAAATTTCGCAAAACTTCAATATTTGGCTATGCTAAATTAACGAGATATGCAAAATATGAGAAGGTTGACGTGAGTACGCTCAGTATAAAAGTATTTTATAATCTTTATATTCCAAGTGGTTTGTCAAATTACTTGGTAAATAATGTTGTGGAAGTGCACACTTAACATAAATAAAGCTAAATAGGTTTCTAATAATCACGTTGATTTAATTCATAATTAATGAATATATTTATGCAGATGGGCACGAAGAAAATATTATCAATTAAATATTTTATTTAAAAAAATAGATCTATCTAAACGATAATGTTATGTTTTAACGATTTACTTTTCATGCAGCAATTCATTTGGGTTAATCAAATTGTGGCAACAAGCTATAATTATGAATGTATGTATTTCAATTATTATTTCAATTATTTTACAAACATATTTAGTTAAAATAACATTAGATCCCTTTAAATTTTCTTAATCTTCTTCGAATGCTAAAGATTTCTTAATAAACAATTACATACATTGTACATACATATTTAGTTTAAAAATTAAAACATATGTCCATGTAAAGTCCAAAATTCTTCACATTCGATACCTCCAACTATCTTAAGCCACCAAAGACCTTGCCCAAATATGTCTCCCAACCTTAACAAACTGGAACGAGTTTCGTCCTGGGACGACCTGAGAACTTAAATCTCCCCCACTCATTTCCGTCATGATATCATACGACTTATAATATTTCGCTAACTCCAAATCTTCCGGGGTAGTTTGTGTCGTGTCGATAAACATGGCTTTTCCTGTCAATGTCAGGTCCACCGTGGCATCCAAATATTGCTTTAACATGTCGAAATTCCCACTGCTTGATTTCGTTATTTGGAACTTCCACGTCGTATACGGACTTAGGGTGAAATCTCCCTTCGCTAATTTATTATAGACGCCATTAGTGATTTCCGGAGTACCGTCCTCTTTGTTTGCAAAACTATACTCAATTTGCTGCGGGGCATTTGAAATGACATAGTATTTGTTGGCAAATCGATAAAACGAGTTACCATCATGGGTTAGACGCACCTTGAAGAAAGACAGGGCAGATTTAAAGCTCGCCACGAAACTCTCATTCCCTCCTCGAATGCTCAACTCGAGATGGGCCGTTGTAAACTTGATGGCATCAAAAGTTTCGGGACTATCGTAAATACTGGCGCGAAGGTAAACCTCTTTACCCGAAAGTAAAGCGCGGATTTGCTCCTTAAAATCTGTCCAGCTCCAACTGTAGAACGGCTTGGTGACATTTGTTTCTTTAAAATCTGCGTAAAATCGGATCGAATCGTCCCCCCGTTGTATAGTGGTTTGTTCTTCGATAACCTTGTTTTTTATCGTTTTCAGAAAATCTTCCGCAATGTCGATAGCTCGGCTAAAATTTGAACTATGTGCGTCCTGTGGGAAGATGACGCCATCCAAATAGTGTTTCGTGAAGGGGAAGACAAATTGCAGGAAGGAAGCTTTCGTTCGTTCCTCGAACCAGAGGGCGTTATGGGTCTTAATTATTTCGGTGCATTCGTCCAGTATTGCTTTTAATTCGGGATCCTCAATAACAATTCCTTCAACGGCGGGTTTGTTCAAAATATAGTTGAGATCCGCGAATCCCTTCTGGTCCTGGTAGGCGGCGATATCCTTGTCTACCAAAATTATGGTGTGCATTGCATCCTGCAGTTGGGTAAAGATGGGTTTAATCTCGGCATGTATTCCGGCGGCGGTTACGAAGCGTTCAAATTCGTTGTACGCGGTTTCAATGGTTTTTCCAATCTGCCAAGCTTTCACGTCGAGTCCGGCGGAAGAAATGTTTTTCAAACTTCCGGACGTCCATTCTGCCGCGAGTTCTTTTAACGAGGATATTAAAGGGACCAGAACTTGGTAGATTTTTTTCTTCATTTCGTCATATAATTGAATTACGTGGTTTAAGGATTGGGTGATATCTTCAGCGTTAGAAATTGTATTTTTCATATCGGAGAGCTGGTTCAAAAAGGGTGGAATATTGCCGATACTGTCAAATATCCCGGCAGCAAAGACAAAGTAACCCATAGCCTTTTCCAGCGGTGTTTGGACGGGATCGTCATTTTTGTCTCGTTTTGGACGTGCTTTAATTTGATCCCGGATTTCCACTACTTGACGACCTATCTGGCCACGAGTGATGTTTAGTTTGTCATAATCTGGAGGACTTGCGCCAAGTTGAGATTATAGTTTTGAATTAGTTTGGTAAGTTGGGTAGTTTTCGGGTCAAATTCACTTGGTAAAATTTTGGAATTTTCAACAAGTTCCGACATAATTTTTCCGTAAGATTGTTCATCTGGAAGGCTTTCCAAATAGTTGGACATCGAACCTTCTGCCTCTGCCGCTTGTTCACCACCCGCTTGAATCGTTCCCACCGCTCCAGAATCATCGGTCAACCCGAAATTCTCCACCATTCCAGCCGCCGAGTTTATCACGGTACTAATAATTGGCCCAATTTCGGGAATCAAGCCCAAAAAATTTCCGAACAATTGCAATCCTCCAGTAATTTCTTTCGCGAGTAAGGTATTCTTCAACTCTTGTTCTGCTTTTTCAATCGCTTCCTTATTTGCTTCTGCGTCATCACGAAGATCCGTAATTTGTTCCACAGCAGAATTAACGTTATCATTTAGTTGCGAAATTAAGGATGTAATTTCAGGCGCTATTTCCGATTTAATGAGGGATAAAGACTCGTTGATTTTCTTGTCGATATTTTCTTTAAAGTCTTTCAGTGATTTTTCCATTCCTTCGCTTTTCTTGAGAGCTTTCAATTCTTTCAGTGCATCGAGGGACAGAGAAATAAATCCAAGGACGTCAACCACCAAGTTATTTCCATCCTGTGGTTCAAGATAGTTTAGAAGTCCTACGCCTGCGTGGTATATTGTAGCGAGAACTCGCTTATTTTGGTTGTCCGATTCGTCCACGGTGCCATTTATGGTGGCACAGTATTTAGCGACGCCATTCTGAATTGTACCATTATATTTGGAAAGTTTGGCATATTGAGGGACAAATGTTGGATTGAAAATGTAATTCTGGGCCCGCTTGTTAAGTGAGCCCAGCCAAGACACAATTGCGGGGAGTCGGGATTCATAATCTGTTCGGGTCGTGAGAAGAACGACTCTTCGAAATTCCGCGGCTAGTTGACGTGTTCCCATGTAGCGAGTTAGTTCTTGCTCAGAATCTATGCCATCCCAGAAACTTAACAGGTCTGGCAAACTATAGTTGGTATATTTTTGCATTGTTTTCTCCTTGTATTGGTCAATTTTCTCTTTAATATTAAACTCCCCGTTGAACGGCCTAGTATCCGATGCGGGTACAGAAGTTCCGTTTGGACCGCTAAAATCAGCTGGTTTGATAAAATTTCCATCTTCCCCCACTAAGCCGTTGATCATTTGCGTTTTAATTTCAACGTTTTTAGAATTATTGGACGTTCCATATACTGAAATAAGGCCTGGTTTCCCACCTAACCCGCCAGCTCCTGATGGTCCAAGTTGTCGGGGCGTGATATACTTTCCGACAAGAAACCCACCTTCATCTCCCTGACCTCCTACTCCTCCCTGGGAAATGATTTCCAACTTGTCCACGGTTTCCGACGCTATGATGCTAATCGATCCCCCTTGATATCCCGTATCGCCCCCTCGGGTATTGTTTTTGAAATCAGAAATCACTGAACATGACGGGTCTTGCGTCATGTTGTTGTAGATACACATCTTCAAAATTGACGTTTCCGGTTTTGTGCAATACATATAGAGACAATTTTCTTCGGGAATGGGACCTCCGTCAGCCGGATCGTCGTACATGTGTGTGTCATCGTCACACCAGGACGGAACATATCCGAAACAGTCCACGCTGCATGGGACGTTGCAACTGGTCGGCATTTCTCGAACAGGTCGATCGCTGGGATCCCCTACCAAGGTAATCGTAACATTTGTTCCCACACTTTCAATCCTTGGTGAGATAATCGCCATAGCGATGCTACCTTCTCAGTCGATATCTTCGTGAACGAACGCAGTTCTTGTCGCAAATATGGAAATATTTACGAAATTTGAATCATCCCCCTCACAAATGGATTGGTTTAAATTGGGCTGAGATATAATGACAAATGGACCAGAAATTGTTACAGATTTTGCAGTGCAATTGACATCAACTGAAATTCGTAACGTTTCCGAGAGGATGTAATCCAGTTCAGTGGCTCGACTAGGAATCAGTTGTTGACCTTTAAGAGCTGAAAATTCTTCCTTGGCTAAAGTTGGACATGTTTTTGAAATTTTTTGAATGAAAGTATCAAAATTTGTGGGTGTCACGGACACTTCGCCTTTCCCACCGGTGCCCCAATCCTCCATATTTCCAACGTTGTATTTATCCTTATCGATTTGAACGTTGAAGCTGGAGAGACATTCGTTAACAAGAACTAGGAAGTCGTACCACACTTTATTTTCTTGGATAAAAGTTGCCAACTTGGATAAACTTGGTTGAAACAGGGTTCCGCTAAAAGTTTCAGATTGCCCGCTAATTGCCGAAAAGAAGGCAATGTACCCATCATACCGTAGTATAGAGCTTAGAAGGTCGTAAGGAATCGTTAAATCAGCGCGATGTGCAGCATCTCGGAGAAGAAAAGCAACGGATGTTAAATCCCTGGTTTTTTTAAGGTCCGAAGTTAAACCGGTTATCTCTACAGAATCCCGGGAAAAGAGGTCGTGCAGAGAGGGAAAGTTTAAACTTGACGATATAAATGCTACTCTTGAACTTGTCCAAAACTGTAGTGAACTTTCAACCTTTTTTCCAGCCTTACTTGTCACATTTCCGATCAAAATTGTCACTTCGTCGACTGACTTGTCGGATAAAGTATAGCCAAAATCACCATCTCCAACTTGAATGAATTTCGCTGTGCTAATCACTTTCAAAATCTTTAATTTCGCTTCCTGCATAACTTTGCTGTTCGCAATTGGTCCAGCGGCATCAGGATCACGGGCGAAAGCAATAATTTTATCCGATCCTGACAAGAAAATATCCACAATTTTTGAATAACGCGCCGTTTCTTTGGCTAGGGGTGACTTTGGATCCATCTTCTTGTACGTGGCGTCCAACTCAGTTTTAAAGGCTTTTATAAACTTCTCAACTTGCTTCACCAAAATATCATCGTTATTAATAAGTGTCCCATTTTTTTCGTACTTGCTCTTAACATGGGTCACAATGAGAACGAAAGAATCGGCATACTTTCCAATATCGGACACAAAGTCAGCAATATGTTGGACAAGATCGGAGAAATCAGTTTCCTCCGTTCCTTCCAGGAGCGCAGAAACATTTATGATAAAAGCCAACCTAACATTTCTCACTGATTGGGTAAACAGATTGATAAAAGGGATAACGCGATGTCCAGGTTTGTTTTTAGAATGTCCGAAAATCCTGGACAGCTGTAAAATGACGTGTTGCTAACTGGATCGGTATACTCGAGAGGGTAAAAACTTTGATAAGTTGTGGGATCAAAATTTGACATATTTCCGATTTTGAACTTCTTTGACCCCGGGGAATCCTCCAGGGCGACAACTTGTGTATTATTAACGGTTAGCATCGATACTAAGGAGGAAGTGCTGGTGCGACTTTTGCCTAAAAACAGCGTCGTCTTGTTTACCCGGGGAAAGTCTGCGACTTCTTCGAGAAAAAGGAACATCTCCTCGATGGGATCGACTTCCTCTTGAGCTGCGTGACGTTTCCCGCCAGCTAATTCCACCGTTTTGAAGAAAGTCAGAAGCGACAAGCTTACGAGGAGAAGTTTTACGACTCTCATTTTGCTTTCCTAGATATGTAAAAACACATTAAGTAAAGACGTCTAACATTTGGTTATTGTTGAGTCAAGTTTGGATTTACACAAACGGTTAGAAAACCAAAACGGTTGGGTAAAATATATCCAAGTTTTGGGTACTTTTGGTTTACAGGAATACTGTCGCCGATTTGTTTACCTGGAGAACATTTCAAAATTGTATGTATTTCCAGTGTAATAATGAACGTAATAAACTACATAAATATATACTCGAGTTATTTTTTTTTCTTACCAGTTAATAATTTTATTATCAAACATGACCCAAACTTTTTCATATTTATCGCATACGAACAATGTTAAAACCTGCAAAAGATATGTACATCATAAATTAATACGGAATGTATTAAAAATTATTATTAATTAATTATTAATTAATTATTTTTAATATCAATAACTAAATATTACCACAAGTTTTAGATGAATTTTTGACGTCACAAATTCTTCTACTCAAACATCACAGTGAAATAAAGAACTATTTAAAATTGGGAAATCTATAAAATTTGGAGAATTATTACTTAACAAAATTATTACAATAACGCAGACTATGTAAGGATAGGCAAATAGATATTTATTTAAGTTAGGTCAATAGGTCAATAGGAAGAGAGCAAGTGATTTATTATTTATATTGTTTATTAATTATGTTTTGTTTATACGAGGAAGCATAACAATCCAAAAATACAAAGTGACTTTAAACCATTTCCGGTATGTGACAATTTAACAACTCAAACTAATATTTCTCGGGAAATTTTGCTAAAAAGAACTTTTGCTGAATTTCAAGTGGTTTTGATTAAAATGGTTTTACCTATGTTAATCAGGTTAAACTTATAAATTATTTGTTTAATGTTCAAATTTACGAAACAACAATTTCCCAATTACATATTTACATACATATATCCACAGGGTGTCAATAATATTGCACAGTTTTCACATTGGACCGTAAATAAGATAGAATGGAAAGTAATTTGCAAATTTTTATTTTCAAGTTTAATTGTATTCATAAATGGAATGAGAAAATAATTTTTTAGTTAAATTCAACTAAAACTTTCAACTCCATTATTTTCTTATTGTGTAGTAAGACAATTCGTAAAGGGCTCGTATTCCTTGCAGTCTGGATCCACTCCAATATTTGTCCCTAAATTAATAAATCGAAAATACGCGTGTATGTTGATTTATTTAGACTAACAATGCATGCATGTTACCCAACGTATGTTTTCCGATTTTGAGGAAATTAGTGTCAATCGATTACAAGTATCATTAGCATTAAATTTTCAAAATAGGCCATCTCCCGAAGGACACGTTTGGCAGAGAGGTTTGCACCCAAAAGAGGAGAAAACGAGCTGTAAATGCGACAAATTTTACATATTTCAAATTTACTTCGTGTTTTATCCTCTCAGGATTGGGAAATGGCTTATTTTTAAAAATATAATGCTAATAATCTATACTTGAAATCGATGAACACTAATTTCCTTAAAATTTTACAAACTAATCTGTTAACCATCCATTTTTAATAAAATTTACCGTATGGATTACAAATATTTATTAATTTATTACCATCAAAGAGCTAAGAGCAGGGATAAAATGTTTCATTAGATCTGTCAAGAATGGAGGGTGGAAAGTGGTCGATTAAGTACGAGTTGTAGTTTGCGATGGCTAATTGACCGTCGTCCTGAATCAAGCCTTCCTTTGTCAAAACGCATTTCATGGTGCACTGGTATTTATTGCGGAATCAAACGAAAATTGAATCCAGAAGCTAACTTATCATATACTGATATTGCAAAGTCAGAACTTCGCAGATTTGATCCACGTTGCAGAAGAGGTGACAATATCTTATACAGCTATCGCCTGGTCCAAACTCACAGAATCGCGAGTAATATAAATAGATGTATTCGAAAACAGAAAAAGCGTGGACTCGTGACTGTTGGAAATCTACTTAACAAATTGTGACATAATTGTGACATAATTTTTCACCAACTGTGGAAAATAAACGAGCAAAATAAATCCAGAATTTTGACATAAAATCCTGACAAATTCGAAGTAGAAATTCTAGTTATTTCTTTAGGTTCTTATGCACGTTTGGTGTGTTTTGCATCTATTTTCTCAATTGTTTGGCACCACTTTGTGTTACCGCTTGTTCGAGACCAATGGTGCTACTAATTTCCTAAAATTTGCACATGGGGCCTATTTATTAGCATCAATTGATGCAAAAAACTCGTTAACAGACAGACAGACTTACAAGAGGAATTCAATAGCTCCTCTGCTACGCAGGGCGAGCTAATAATGTACATAAACAAAATGGAAATTTGCAATAATAAATGTATTATCAGAGTTCTGTCCGGGTTCTATTTCCATCCGATTGTTCACCCTCGCCGGAGTATAATTCTTTAACCAGCGGATGAAGAATCTTTTCCAATTTTCCGAGTTGTTCTTGATAAGCGTGGGTCTCTTGAAGGGTATCCTGACCGGCGAACCACTGCTCAATCTCATCAGTTATCTACATAATTATCACCATCCAATCAACCAGATTCCCTAGTTTAAATAAATACTTTGTTATGAATTTATTAGCTATTCGTGCATAATGTACCAGGTGAAAAAGTGGGAGATTTCATAACGTACCAAGTCATTTTTGGGGAGCATTGAGCAATTATATGTCTGTTCACGACTTACAAAATGTTTTTTTCCCGCCGATAATTACTCCATTGATCGCCAAAATATTATCAATATAAAATTAATGTCCAGATGCAATAAGATGAAGCATTAATTTCTTTTCCGCCTCTACTTAAAAGGTGAGAAAAACGACTTGTCACTTTCTGAAGCCGGCCATTTTTTCACTTTTAGCTCATTATGCACGAACAGCGACGGTATTCCGATACTTTAGTAAGAGCAGATTTTTCCCCCGAACCAGAACCCTCTCCAAGTCATCCTTCGCGGCAAAAGCTTCCCTCACCCTTTCGTCTTCCCGGGCAAAGTCTTTCGCCTCCTATTCAAATTAGTTTAATACGTGCAAGCTCAGCGGCAAAAATATTTGCAGTTCACCCACCCGGATTTTCCGCTTAATCTCTCCCGGACTCATGCCACCATGATCGTTCTTAATCGTGATAGCATTCACATTCCCGGTTGCCACGTCCTTTGCGCGAACAACCAAAATCCCGTCAGAATTTACAGAAAACGTGACTTGGATGTCGGGAACGTCTTTTGGGGCTGGGAGAATCCCGCCAAGTTCAAAGCTCCCGAGGAAATTATTGTCCGCTCTTTAACGACGATAAAAACTGATTTGGTGTCATCCAGCCAGGAAAATTCTGTCTTTTCTAGGTACATGAAGTACTCCAAGGATTGACTACGTAAAGTCGAACGATTTACGACGCTGTTGAGGTAGAAGTTGTAAACCACTTTTTCTTGAATGTGGATCGTCACGTTGGGCAAGTAGTTAGAGGAGGGCGATTGTAAGACGTAGATACAAGTGGGATTAGAGGTTAGAGTAGCATTCATGAAATTTTCCATCCAGGAGATTAATTTTTTAGTGTCATTTGCTCTTTTAATAATAATTGTGCAACACTGATACAGGTAGAGGGAAACTAACAATAAGAAAAGTGTGCAAGTTCGTGCAAAATAAGACGATTGAATTTTCATAATATGAAATATGTTTAGGTTCAACTTGCATCAGTGGAACGATATATAGACGAAATGAAAAGCGGGATTTAAAAAGTCTCCCACACAGTACATAAAAATATAAATAGTTATTAATATATGTAATAGTGTATAAGACTTCCAGGAATAAAATGATCACGAATAGTAATAAATCTTTCGTTGCATGTAAGGTAACTGCTTTTGTATCCGTTGAGAAATAAAATTTTGGACAAAAAAACCCTTGAATTAAACAAGAAAAATGTAGAATTTATTTACTAAATAAAAATACAGCCACACAGAGTTGGATTCAAACTTGGTGGCATATGCGAATGAGAGGTTCAACGAGTATTGTACATAAGCAAATATGTATTATGACTGTATAATAAGTTCTATAAATTGGAGGAGGTTATACCTGGGGGGGAATTCAATTCGAAGATAAGCATTGCGTAAGCATAGATTTTGCTAAGCAATGGAAAATTTGGATTCAATTAATCCGAATTTAGGAATTTGCTTACTCATACACTTACGCCAAAAATCTTATTCAATTAGAAATATAATTCTTAAACCTTGCGTATTTTTAAAGTACTCGGGAGCAGTATTATCTCTTGCTTAAATAACTTCCATAGCCAATGTATGTACCTGTCTGCCTTATCATTTTAACCCTTTGATTTGAAACGATAATTGTCGTCATTTAATAAGAGATGGTTTAACTCGAGAGAAAAATTAAAGCCGTCCTGCAAAATTGTGGTCGTTTCTAGGAGGTCATTGATTTTCATGATTTTCTCTCCGCGGCGTAAAATCTGTTGTAACTTTGAGGGATTTCTCTTTTCTTAACCAAATGTTAATTTGAACATTTCCTTGCCCAAAGTTAATATTTATCAATACTTCAGTGAATCACTTTCCTCCTCCCGCACTGTCGCCACAACATATTTATAACGTCCCCAAATAAATACTTTCTTGTAGTTAATTATACTTCTTAAAGGGTTAAAGAAACATGTCGGTGCCATTGTTTGTTTTGAGGAATGAACGTAATCGACGCTATCCCCAAAGAAAGTTACTTGAGAGCCTCTCCGAATTTGAAATTAGAAAGCACACTGGCTTGCCATGGTGGGGAGCTAGAGAGATTTTGGGGTGGTTAGAACCACATGTGGAACCGAAACAATTTACAAATCATGCTGTGACGGCGGAATCTAAAGTTCTTACGACACTGGGGTTCTTTCGATCAGGAGGTTTTCAATGGTTAATGGGGTCAGATTGTGGATTATCCCAACCAACCGCGTCAAGAATTATAGAGCAGGTAAAAGTTTTAATATTAAGTAATATTAACACTCGCTTATATTATGTTGTAAGATTACAATCGCTCTCTACGATTTTATTTTAGGTCAGCCGAGTTCTTGTTACGGAGTCGCCAAAAATCGTATCTTTTCCCGATGCAGCTGAACAGAAAAGAATTTCTACAGCCTTTCATGCCAAGAGTAGATTTCCAAATATAATAGGAATTATCGATGGGTCACATGTGAATATAATTTCGCCAAGTCAAGACGAAAGGTCATTCGTGAATAGAAAACAAAACCACTCAATCAATGTCCAAATTATTTGCGACGACCAATTCCGATTCATTGACGCCGTGGCAAGTAATCCGGGTGGCGCACATGACTCGTTTGTGTTCCGAAATTCTCACATTCATCACCGATTTTTGACAGGAGAATTTGGGAATGGAAAATTAATAGGTAGGTAATAGCTAAGAAGTAAAGTGGAATTTTAATTTAATGTATTTATTTTGTATCTATTTAGGTGACTCAGGATATTCTCGTTCTCCGTTTATGGAGGTTCCTTATGCTAGGGGAATTATTACTCCTTTTCAGAACGATTACAATAAAAGGTTAACGTCCGTTCGATGTGCCATTGAATGCACAATTGGACGATGGAAAAGTAGGTTTAGATCCATGCACAGGTAATTAAACGATTTATTAAACCTTTAAAAATTAGTGTATCGCTGATTAACATTTTAACAGGACCGGGGGAGAACTTTGCTATACTCCAACAAAAGTTTGTCGCCTAATTATTTCAACAATCACGCTTCACAACTTTTGTCATACGACTAATATCGCATTACTGAACGAAGATGAAGATATTTATAATCAAATAATTAGAGAAATGAATGATGAGGATTAATTATTTTTCATAATTTGTAGCTTCTCCTTTTCAATTGAGTTTCGCTCCGCCAATAAATCAACTATTTGTGCCAGTTGCATTGTTTGAGTCTCCAATAATTTAACTTGTTTAGCTTGTAATGCGAAAAGAGTAGTTTCCAGAGGACGTTTCGTTTGTTTCTTGAAAAAATGTGGAGCATTTTCTTCCGAAGCATCAGCCGGTTTGTTTGTTCTTGAGCCCGTGTCTCCAATTGGGATGAGGCCCGTTACCGAGATCAAGTTTAATGGCGCAGTATCAACGGTCGACACTAAATATTTTAAGAAAGAGTTTAAAAATTGTGCTTGACTGACGGGAATTGAATTAAGCGTACTAACTTTTACTAATGTCGATTCCACCCTCAATTCCTGAACTTTCGACCCGTGGAACAAGTGCCAAAATTTTCTCTCCTACGGTATTTTGGGGTTGTAGAATCGCAGACCCTCCTCCAGTTTTTTTCATTTCATTCGAATTGTTGGTCTCGATTTTTTTCACGCTACTTTTCAAAACTTGATACTTCTTTTTCACCTCGGCTACGCTTCTAGGAATGTTAACGGAAGAGACAGCATTAACTTTTTCGGTGACATCATCCCATAGCTCATTTTTCCGATTGTTGGTCAAGGTTGAACTAAATCTTCCAAAGAGTGCATCGTAGTGAAGTCCAACGGTGTCGACCAAAGCCTCACATTCCTTAGTGGAAAAGTTTGGGCGTCCTACAAAGTATTTATTAATTGACCTATTTTTATTAGAGGGAAAGCTCATAAAATACGTAACGCAAAGCAGGGGAGGGGTTAGGCTGTTGTGTTACTGGTCCCCTTGATCAGTTAAAAAAATGGGGTGTAAAAATGGACTATATCCCTCTACGAGGGATGTGTAAAAAAATGACTAATTTTGCGTTTCGTGTTTTCTGAACATTCCCAAAATAAATATTTATAATTATAATTTCTTACTCTTTCCATTTGTGTCAACTAATTCCATCTTAACTGAACTTTTCGAATCCATACCACATAAGTATTATTTTGTTGTGACAATTAGCTACATAAGCAAACTCCGACCTAGATAACTGTTCTGATAAGTTTTGCCAGCTGACACTGTTTTGTGGTGGAAAAACTTGCGCAGTGCTAAGCAAAAGACAAGAGATACGCAAATTTTGAACTTCCGCATGCTTATCTATTGAATCGCGTTTTATGCTGAGCAAAATCTATGCTCAGCAATGCGTAAGCAAAATCTATGCTTACGCATGTCACAATTGAATTCCCCCCCAGGAAACTAATTTCGGTTCTGTTTTTATAACTACAGAACCATATGTTTATATGTAGCTATTTCGTCGAATTTTAATTTGCATGCTGACAGGACGGTTCCAAGAAAATTTCTCGTTAAATAGAAAATAAGGTTTGTAAATTGGATTTTTAAATAGATTTCATGTCTTCACGAAATCGGCAAGTTTTACAATTTACAGCGTTTTTCGATATTCTCAAAACCAATCTCACGATTGTCGGGTTTGTATTGTTTTTTTTTAAATTCAAAAATCATGAAATCTGAGAATTTCAAATTTCCAACATAATATTCCAACATATTACTTCGGAATCTTGATGACCACAAAATTACACAAATTATAATCTATCATACATCAAAATCGTAAGAGCCTAAAAAAAGCTATTTCATTGTACCATTCCCCTATTTAGGCGTGTCACCTCATTTGCATAAATCTCACGATGCCCATTTTCGGCGATACGGGATTTCCTTGTTGAATAATCTCTTTGTCTCTCGCGAATTCGTCAAGACATTTTGTACACTTTGAAATACAATAAACCGTTGTAACGTTAGAAGTAGCTCGCCCTGTAGTAAGTGAGAGAATAAGTGGGTGGACAATTTTGACGTAATCTTGACTCAAACGTTATAAAATATGTGCATACATATATATATATAACGTAAAAATTGTCGAGAAACATGGGTAGAAATTGTAACTATGATTACATCATTCGGTAGATCAAACAAAGATCAGAAATCAGAGAAAAAGTCTAGAGTTTATCAAAAATTCTTTCCCAATATTTCTGCTCTCTATTTCTTGTTTACTGCTATTTCTGGACAAACTAACCGAAGAGGAGAAACGTCGAACGGAGAACAAAGGGATCAAAAGTCGGAGAGACGTGTGTAACGGAGGAGAAACGTGAAGAAAGTTGGAGAGACGTGTCGAACGGGGGAGAACGTGCCACAACGAGTGGTGATTGGAAGGCACGTAACCTAATTAGTTAGCGCGTGCCTAATCGCGATAAATTGTCATGCCTCGCAAAAAGATAAGTGCAAAAGAAAGCATGCGGAGAAAAAGGGAAGATGATGACTTCCGCCGAGCCGAAGCCGCCAAAAACGCTATCGCGAAGAAATTACAAAGAATGAATGAGAACATGCGGCACCAAGAACAACAACGAGACAGAGTAGGACCAGCTGAGCGCAGAAGCGATCACATCTACCGTGAGGAGGAAAAAGAGCGGAATAGGATAGAAAACGCTACCCGCCGAGATGATACATATTTCAAGCAGGCCGAGCAACAGCAGAACACAATTAGAAAAGCTATTTCACGTCATAGGGCCCAGGTGGATTTTTATATTTTGTGTTAGTCTTTCCAGTCTGAGATACTTGATCAACCTAGATGGATATGTGGTTCCTGTGGAGGTCTTTGGTATCGATCTTCTATGCATCCAACAACAATAGAAGTCGTGCGGAAACTTCATCTTAAGAAACCTTTCGCCAATCTCAAAGTCGATGGGAAGTATTTATTTCCTATGTGGCACATGTCACGATTCGCTGAAGAGTGGTGACGTGCCCCGGTTGTGTATGTCCAATGGACTGTATTTTCCTCCAATTCCACCTCAATTACAGAACATGACTAGCTTAGAGGAACGTTTGGTGGCATTAAGATTACCGTTTGCTCAGATTAGATCCTTAGGAAGCGACCGTCAGTACGGAATCCGAGGGGGAGTAGTAAACGTTCCCAACGACATGGACATAGTCGCCAAAGTAATTCCCCGCAGATTTGATGAGACGAGTACAGTGCAGGTTCAATTGAAGCGCCGCATGTCTTATAAGCATCCATATATGTTCCAAACAATTCGACCATACAAAGTTTTTCATGCCGCAAATTATTTAGTACGTACCGAGTTGTACAAAAAGGAAAAGGTATTTCTTTCGTCAGACTGGGCCAATAGTGTTTCAACTGATACACTCAAAATAAACTGGTGTCAATCCAGCGCGGTGTAGTCACATATAGACACCGCGCGGTGTTAATACGGGCAATTAACACCGCGTGGTGTCTATATGTGACTACACCGCGCTGGATTGACACCAGTTTATTTTGAGTGTACTGTCGAATATGTAGTAAACCCAGACGATGCTACCCGAAATGATACACACATTTATAATATTCAAGATCTATCTATCAATGACAATTCCCAAACTGAAGATAATGATCCACCTTTAACGGAAACTCTTATGCAAGAAGACCAACAAATCATGGCAGTTGCACCTGGAGAAGGAATGCGCCCGCTGTCGTTACTTATGGATCTCGACGCTGAGGAGCTGTCTTTCCCTTCTATTTACTGCGGAATCAAACGAAAATTGAATCCAGAAGCTAACTTATCATATACTGATATTGCAAAGTCAGAACTTCGCAGATTTGATCCACGTTGCAGAAGAGCTGACAATATCTTATACAGCTATCGCCTGGTCCAAACTCACAGAATCGCGAGTAATATAAACAGATGTATTCGAAAAAAGAAAAAGCGTGGACTCGTGACTGTTGGAAATCTACTTAACAAATTGTGACATAATTGTGACATAATTTTTCACCAACGGTGGAAAATAAACGAGCAAAATAAATCCAGAATTTTGACATAAAATCCTGACAAATTCGAAGTAGAAATTCTAGTTATTTCTTTAGGTTCTTATGCACGTTTGGTGTGTTTTGCATCTATTTTCTCAATTGTTTGGCACCACTTTGTGTTACCGCTTGTTCGAGACCAATGGTGCTACTAATTTCCTAAAATTTGCACATGGGGCCTATTTATTAGCATCAATTGATGCAAAAAACTCGTTAACAGACAGACAGACTTACAAGAGGAATTCAATAGCTCCTCTGCTACGCAGGGCGAGCTAATAATGTACATAAACAAAATGGAAATTTGCAATAATAAATGTATTATCAGAGTTCTGTCCGGGTTCTATTTCCATCCGATTGTTCACCCTCGCCGGAGTATAATTCTTTAACCAACGGATGAAGAATCTTTTCCAATTTTCCGAGTTGTTCTTGATAAGCGTGGGTCTCTTGAAGGGTATCCTGACCGGCGAACCACTGCTCAATCTCATCAGTTATCTACATAATTATCACCATCCAATCAACCAGATTCCCTAGTTTAAATAAATACTTTGTTATGAATTTATTAGCTATTCGTGCATAATGTACCAGGTGAAAAAGTGGGAGATTTCATAACGTACCAAGTCATTTTTGGGGAGCATTGAGCAATTATATGTCTGTTCACGACTTACAAAATGTTTTTTTCCCGCCGATAATTACTCCATTGATCGCCAAAATATTATCAATATAAAATTAATGTCCAGATGCAATAAGATGAAGCATTAATTTCTTTTCCGCCTCTACTTAAAAGGTGAGAAAAACGACTTGTCACTTTCTGAAGCCGGCCATTTTTTCACTTTTAGCTCATTATGCACGAACAGCGACGGTATTCCGATACTTTAGTAAGAGCAGATTTTTCCCCCGAACCAGAACCCTCTCCAAGTCATCCTTCGCGGCAAAAGCTTCCCTCACCCTTTCGTCTTCCCGGGCAAAGTCTTTCGCCTCCTATTCAAATTAGTTTAATACGTGCAAGCTCAGCGGCAAAAATATTTGCAGTTCACCCACCCGGATTTTCCGCTTAATCTCTCCCGGACTCATGCCACCATGATCGTTCTTAATCGTGATAGCATTCACATTCCCGGTTGCCACGTCCTTTGCGCGAACAACCAAAATCCCGTCAGAATTTACAGAAAACGTGACTTGGATGTCGGGAACGTCTTTTGGGGCTGGGAGAATCCCGCCAAGTTCAAAGCTCCCGAGGAAATTATTGTCCGAGGCGAACGGGCGTTCTCCCTCGTACACGGGGAATTCAACCACCTCTTGATTATCCTTAATGGTCGTAAACCCCTTTGTCCTTGAGGCTGGAATAGGCGTATTTCTCTCTAAAAGTACAGACATTTGGTCATCCTTTATCCCCAGACCGAGGGTGAATGGCAACACGTCCGCGTCCACGATGTCGAGATGACCCGCCAAAATTCCGGCCTGCGATATTTAAAGGTTCTCAAAAATCACACCAACTTCCCACACAGAATTCGCACCTGAACAGCCGCACCGATGGCAACGGCTTCATCGGGATTCACCGCTGTGGCAGAGACAGCTTCTAGTCTAACATAGTCTTGGACCATTTGTCGAATTTTTGGAATTCTGGTGGATCCACCGACCAGAATGAGTTTGTCGATGTCTCCACTGCTCAGCCCTTTATCTTCGAGGACACGGTCAATCGAGAGTAGAGTTTCTTTGAACAAGTCGTAATTTAAATCTTCAAATTTGGCTCGTGTCAATGTTTCCGAGAAATCTTGGCCATTCAGAAAATTCTCAACTTCGACGGTTGCAAGGGTAATTTTCGATAGAACTCGTTTTACACGCTCGACCTCTCTTCGAAGTTTTTGCAGGGCTCTGCCAGATATTAGGAAAGTTTAAATATCCATAATTTATGACAATTTTATCAACTCACCCGTCATTTTGGGAGATATCGACATTTATCTTTTTCTTCAGTCTTGAAACGAAGTAGGAGACGACATTCCTTTCAAAATCTTCTCCACCGAGGTGCGCATTCCCATTTGTTGCCGTCACCATGAAGCCTTCTTTGTCGATATCGAGTATAGTCACGTCTAAAGTTCCACCACCGAGGTCGTAGACAAGGACACGTTGATTTTGGTCGAATGTTGTTCGGTCCCAGTACGCCATGGCGGCGGATGTGGGTTCATTTATTATTTTCATTACGTGTAGTCCAGCAATTTCAGCGGCATCTCGGGTTGCTTGTCGTTGGGCATTGTTGAAATAGGCGGGAACCGTTACGACAGCGTGGGTCACATTGACACCCAAGTAGGACTCGGCAGTCTCCCGCATGTAGGCCAGGATCATGGCGGAGATCTCTTCGGGCGAGAAGAATTGCGTGGTCCCCGGTTTTGTGCGGAGCTTGATTTAGTCAGCACAAGAATTTACAAGTTAAAAAATAAATAGGTTTTCGGCATCCAGTTTTTTTAGATCAACTTGCGTCGGCCTAATTCTGAAATGAGCTAAGTACATTCATTGCTTAACTGAAAAATGAGCTAAGTGCACGGTTTGCGTAATTTTGAAATGAGCTAAGTACACTAACCTCCTAATTTTGAAATGAGCTAAGTGCCCGCAAATACCATGTTTAGTGGCTGCACTTATCTTATTTTAAAATTGGGGAGTTACTGCACTTCGCCCATTTTAAAATTGAGGAAACCGTATACATATATCATTTTAAAATTAAGCAAACCAAGCCATTAGTTCATTTCAAAATTAAGCAACCAATGCACTTAGCTCATTTTCAAATTAAGCAACGAATTCATTTAGTTCATTTTAAAATTAAGCAACGTATGCACTTAGCTCACTTTACAATTAGGCAACGAATGCACTTAACTCAATTTAGATTTAGGCAGACGCTTGTTTTCTTAGTTACCTCAATGAATGGCTTTCCCTCCATTTCGATAACGTTGAAGGGGAAATTTTTAATTTCCGCCTGAAGAATTCGATCGCTCCATCTCCGTCCGATGATCCGTTTCGTGTCAAAAACGGTATTTTTTGGATTTGTCGTGACCTGACTTTTTGCCGCGTCACCAATTAAGCGGTGACCATCTGGGGTGAATGCCACGTACGATGGAGTTATCCGATTTCCTTGAGAATTTGCGATCACCTCGCGACGGCCATTGATTGAAATGGCGACACTGTCCAAATGGCAGGATTCAAAGGTGAATTACCTTGTTGCATTAAACGACTTAAGCTGCCTTTACACTTCAGTCCTTGGTAACTTGCGCCAATGTTATAATTTAAGTATGGCGCAAGGAACCAAGGTGTGAAGTGTAAAGGCAACTTTACTGCTAACCAGGAGTAGGTAGTTCCCAAATCAATCCCAATGACGGGGGTGCCTGGCGGGAGATCAAATTTGACTCGGGATGATGAAACTGCTGCTGCTGTTACGAGTAGCATTAACGTTTTATAGATCCCCTCCATATTAGAGCGTCAATATAGTATAGCGCGTCGGTCCTGGTTTGATATTGGAAAAACCCGCTTTAGTAAACCTGTGCGAAAATTGGCTGGATTTTCTACATAAACCAATTCGGAATTCTGCAGAATTACCCACACCATCACTTCCTTAAACTTTATGCACAACTCTTCTACGGAAAATACTTTCCAGAATTATGCACAAATTATAAAAATCGTGCTGAAATACGCATAAAATTTTATGCATAAAATCCAGCTAATTTTCGCTACACCATTTTCACACGGGATTTAAGTCCCTTTCAAATTGACTTGCTTTTACTTAATTAAAATTTATCTCGTTCACCAAGGATAGACTGGAGTGCTTAACTAACTCAAATGAATTATGGTGTAAAAAATTCGCAACTCGTTAAATATTGTAATCATCATCTACGCTGTTGGGTGTTATCTCGGCATCGCTTTGCACAGATTACCAGTGCTCGGAACGTTTCTTATCTAAATCACGAGTCCATTACAATTAAGTCAACTGCACGAGCTCACAGTCTGACTCTTATTTTTCCATTGAAGTCAGTTATGTACGTGTATGAAAGAGTGATTCACTTCCCGTCTCGGGGATAAGATAAATTAGATAAGTGTATTATGTGAACATTTATTCTCTGAGTTATAATTCACTCTCGCTAATGTCCTGGATTCTTATAGAATATGCGTAAAAAATAAATCCAATTCCGACCGCGCCCGAAATAAGCATCAATTCCTGAATTCTCCCCTTGGAAACGACCAAATAAGCAAAGTATAAGGCTGGCACGAGGGTGAATAAAAGCCCTGCGTACAACAGATTTCCCTTAACGGCATCCTGTCCTGGTTTCCTGTAAGAACCGACAACCCTCTTAAAACGAATCGATTAAATTTATTATGAAGTTGTCGAATTTAAAGGAAACTACGTCGGTGGAATAATCCGGGGTTTAGGTGGCATAATAATTGGCTTTGGGGTCGTCGTTGTCGCCCTCGTCGTCGTAGATTTGGGAAGTTCTCCTCTAATTGTTAATGTAAACCTGTCGAAAAAAACTTGTCAATTTCCTTCTCATTTCCAAAAATTGTTTAACCAATTATTACCGTTTCGAATGTCTCGTTTTGACTACAAATTGCCGCAAATTGATCCCATCAATTTTTCGGATAAAGGACACGTTGATGTCAAACTTTGATTGGAAATTTGTATTCAGCCGGAGTAGTTCTACGTCCGTGTAGCTGGATTCGGAGACTAGGATTAGCCCCGCATACCCCGCTTTCTGTACGTTTAAAATCTTTTCATGAGTTTCACAGTCGTCCACCTTTGCGTTCATGAAGATCATTAAGATCCAGCTGGGTCGGGTGTCAGCTAGCGAGATGATGTTTGGTGGGCGAGGGATTTTCAGGTCACAACCGTTCGAGCCAGCTTCATCAGCCAGCTCGGAAAGGTATATCTGAATTTTTACATAATTTAGTTTCATTTTGTTAACCCGCCAAGCTCAAATTTTTTATAAATTTTACCGCGTCGTTGAAAATTTGATTTTTCCGATACTCCAAGAAAACATTGGCAACCTTGAGTTCCAAGCTGTCGTCGGCCTCATCCCAAACGATTATGTCGCACAAGGATCCCACAGGTGACAGGATTATGAAGCAGATCCCAATGAGGACCATGCCACGTGAGATCGTCAAAATATGCCGCATTCTTTAACACGACTTTTTTTAATGGTTTCTGCAATGGGAATTTGTGGATGTGTGTAGCTTGTGATGCGATGCAAGGGAATGAATACGTAGGTGAAGGTGAGGCCCCGAGGTGTTCATGATTAATTTTATCGTGTGTACATACTTGATAAGATAAGATAAATGAAGAGGTGTTCAACATTCATACGCATAAGACTGTAGTCATAGCTGTACAAACTTTTTTTGTTCATGTAGAATTCATTCATTTGAATTTTTTAAAATTATTCATTCATTCTTCATTCATTCTTTATTTACTCCATGTATTTAACATACCGGGAAAAAAAATGAATACAAAATCCACTGATTCTTTCTGAAATTCTGAAGTTCCACGAATTTTCCATTCATTCTTTATTCATGTAATGAATTATTTCCGCCTATTCTGCATCATTAATGCAAAATTATGCCAAAATTGCGTATCTATTTTATCTGCCAATTCTCCACCATTGGTGCAAAATTATGCCAAAATCATTATTACAGGGTGAGCAACTTCTAACGTTACCACGGTTTATTATAGTTTATAAAACAAGTTCCCAAAAAATGAACAAGTGTTCATCCGCCTGCACTTTGATGGAATTAATTGGAAGTGTATTCGCAGTTATTAATTGATCATTACAAAAACATCTTAATAGAAAAACTGTCTATGCAGAAGTCTCACAAATCGACCTAACCTTCGGGAATGTTCATAACATACGTAACGCGAATTTTCGATTATTTCAACACTTTCTCCCCCTGTACACGTTACGAGAGAATAATTTTAACATGGTAGAGATAGTCGACCTCAACCCACTCGAGAGTTACGTATTTTATGTACGTTCCCCTATTGATGGCTCCAAAAATGTCGTGCTTGTGTTGGACACATGTTTAAGGGGTGGTCAAGAACATTGGGTTTTTTGCCTTATCTAGTTTATTGATAACGCATAATGTATGAGTTACCCAAATTCACATCGTTAGCATTGCCATCGTCAGGTTGCCTGAAGACTCCAGCGTCTTCTCCTTCGAGGTCACAACTCTGGTCATTTTCAATATCAATGTCCAATCCTTCCTTCACTTCGAATATTAATTCAATCGGGTCACCGGGCCTTCAACGTCCTGGTCGCGTGGACTTGGTGAAGGGCGGAATTCGCCTTCCTCAAATCCAAGAGGGTCGTCTTCCTCGTTGACGTTGGTTGGGAAAGGGGCCAAACAAGTAGTTTCCGACCCTGAAATGCAGACGTCGGCGAAGGACAGGGACAAAATGGCATCAGCCAAACTCAGCAGTCGTGTAGTATCGCTGGGTTCACCATCTGTATCCAAATTGCGTAAAGGCATTGCATACTGAGAACCTGCTCTCAAGTTTGTTCAATCCAATTACCACATTACTCCTGTTCGCCAATGTTCCAAAAAGACGACCAATTTCACGAATTCTTTGACAACTCAGGGACAAGAAATGTTTGAGGGAGTCGACCTCTGCGGTTAACTCGGTTGCCAGGTCGGCCTCCATCCTGACCTGGCATTTGTCGTCCAAAAGATTAAGTCATACTTTATTTATCGTTTAAAACCAACTTCCGTGCAGAACAAATTCACGTTATTCCATTTGAGCTTGAGCAATCGTGTCCAACACGTTGTAATGAAAAAGCTCGTGTTAATTTACACAAGTCTTTTATTTGTCGCCCAGCTGGGCGGCAAAGCCACGTACTCGAGAGATGTCAAGTTCCAGATAAACTACTTGACATGTGTACTGTCGAATCCTGCATGAAAATGTATGTAGTTGTAGCATTTCTGTGCCCAGAGTGAAAACGGCACAGAAATGATAATGTTTGTATGTAAGTTGAAAGTGAGACTGAGAGCGGTTGTGTTTGAGAATTGTGATACGTGTCGTAGAGAAAGTCAGTTGCGTAGTAGGGCTGCTCAGTCACTAACGTCAATTAAGGAGGTATAAGCACCATGTAAAACGGTGCATAAAGCACGTTGCCCCACACCCCTCACAAAAATGGTCTCGTCCAAAAATTAATTTGAGGGAAACTCGAGTGGTTCCTCGTTTTCTTCTTTTTATTTTATCGTCATTTCGGACTGGTTGAGTTTACGACGGTCATCCCAGGACCACAAATACATCAACGGTGAGCCCCACGACCTCCTCATCCTCATCACATTGAGCAGTTTTTAGACTTGCTCAGGTCTCATTCATTTTCCTCGTTTGTTTTAGTTTATCGTCATTCCGGACTGGATGAGTTTACGTCGGTCATCCCAGGACCACAAATAATTCAAAGGTGAGCCCCACGACCTCCTCCTCCTCATCACACTCAGCAGTTTTTAGACTTGCTCAGGTCTAATTCATTTCCTTTTTCTTTTTAGTTTATCGTCATTTCGGACTTGGTTCAGTTTACCTTGGTCTTCCCAGGACCTGTACAATGGTCACGATTAATGTATATGAGAGACCTGGCCCCATCCGCCGCGGAACATCCCAGGGACGTCGCCAACGTCAGCGAATTAGGGGCCAAGTTCCGCAACAAGCCCTTGGGCGAGGCGCTTTACATGGAGGCCTCCGAGGCCGTCAACATGGAGGCCCCCGAGGCCGTCAACATGGAGGCCGCCGAGGCCCTCAACATGGAGCCTTCAACCAACAACGTGACCGCGAGCATCTTTTACGCAGGGAAAGGCAGTTGGACCTGCAGTGGAAGCGGCAGCATCCTCCAGGACCCCCACAGCCTCCTCCAGGACCACTACAGCAACCCCCAGCGCCGCCACAACCACCCCTACAGCCGCACCAACCAAATGGAGACCAGGATCTGATGCTATTGGGTTGATGTAAACATATGTACACATAGGTCCATTTCTTTATTTCTTAAAATAAAACGATTTTGTATTCAAGACATTAAATTTGAACTTTAGTAATTCAGTTTTTAATTACAACTCAATTAGTAGCATCACACCGTTCTAGCGCGATACTAATAAATCTACCTCCTAACAAATCCAATGATGATGATGATCCCCCATGCCGTTTCCTCTTGTTCGGATTTATGAACAATCTTTTCAGTGAGACAATGGTTTTCTCTCCCTCTTTGGTAACCCTGGTTCGTTTTCGCTTTCCCCTCGAGGATGGAGCCTTGATGTATATTTTCTGCAAAATGTCCAAAAGCTCGAACACAGAGCTGACTTGAGTCCTGGACTCGCTCGTTTTTGCCACATCGTGTTTCTAAAAAATATATTCATATACAAATTCCAAAATCTAATCTAAATACACTGATTGATTAATTAATCAATTACCTTATTAATTGGCACGCCGTGATATTTCCACAAGTGCCACTTCTTCCTTTTCTGACTAATTTGGAGGCCACAGTGGTCACACAAGGAGGTGAAGTGGATAGGAAAATGCTTCCCAGTGATATGCGACTTTAGCCCGTCCTCCGTCGAAAAGTCCTGGGTGCAAATGTTGCAGAGGAAACGTTTCCCATTGTTCAGACCCTCCTCCGCAATGTTCACCGTCTACAAAGCAAAATTCGAAAATTAAAAAAATTCATGCATAAAGTTCTTCATTTCTTTATTTATAAATTATAAGATTTAAACAAAAAATTAGTGTAATTTCTAACCTCAATCTTTTCGTGGTCGTAATGGTTTTTGGACATCCGGACATTTAAACCTTTTCATCCCCTCCTCGCTGTGAGCCGATCCAAAGATTGGGCGTACTGGAATGTGGTATTGCACTGAGGACACATCAGCCTCGTGAAGGCGTTGTTTTTGTGCACTTCTTGGATGTGCGTGACGACGTACTCTTTGCTCTTGTAGTTTTTCATATAAATGGTCACGGATTTTCCGCTGTGCTCGACTTCCGTTCCGACTTCATTCAAAAATGACGAGTTCAAAAATGAGCACTGAAGGTCACAGCGTTCAAGGTCAAACATTGTTACTAGATGACTTGATGCATATATAATTACACTAATAATTACTACACTATAATCAATTATTAATTATTATTATACTAGTACTAACGGGACGACAGACTGAAATCATGCTGAAACTATGTTGCCCTTGTTATTCCGTTTTCTAGAGACTGCAATGGTTGATGTAGTGGCAGGTTTTGCATTATGACGTGTGCTATCCGCTGAATTCTGCCATGGAGATAGCCGGGAATTAGACGTTCTACGTAGGGCAGGACGCTGTGGGCGGACGCAAGAAAACATGGTATTGCCACATCCACAGCGTGCCTGACCCCGAGGCCGCCTTCCTTCACCGGCAGGGACGACTGCATCCGAGAGAGAGCAGTTGAAGATCCCTTCCAGCGCGTCCTGAAGGGTGGCGTCGTAGTGGACAAGGGCGTAATTTGCTGTGTTACATATTTCCAAATTAATTGTATTTGCATAAATGACTTTGATCATGATAGTTCAAGTTCTGCCCATTTCCTTTTCATTTGGTGGCAAACCGGTACGAGATTTTAACATGTCGTAAACTGGCTCATTGACAACGTCATGGAAGTATCAAAATGGAAAGAGGTATTATAAATAGTTTAATGTGGAAATCAAAGTAAGAAATTCGCTAGCCAAGCTAATATTATTTGTTGCCACAATTTTATTACAAAATATAAGCATTATTCATTCGTTGAAAGCTCTGTTAAAACAATACAAAGTTCCCTTGTCAGTCAGCTGTTCACTTCTCCCACACACAAATTAAACCTCACATCTTCAGGACAAAAAAATGTTTTCAAAATTACCTTATTAGTACCACTTGCTTTAACCGTTTGGATACTTGCGTTTGCAAGGGTTTATTTTGTCCATGAACAAATGTAAAATATTGGAGTTAGGAAATGTCATGCAAGTGATGCAATTTGTGTGAAAAAAAATTCGTCCCGAGTATTCCAATTCGTAATTTGATATTTATTCAAAAGATGATTTATTTATGTGTATTTCATCCACAAGAATACTTACGGTAATGACATCCCTAAAATTCTCATCCACAAACCAGCACATCGAAAACGGTGCACTTCACCTCCGCCCCGCCGTATGGGTAGAACGCCTCTCCTGCCCGACTTTTATACACCTTGCCCGGATTGACCAACTGTCCGTTAATATTTGCTCGACATCGAGAAACCGGTTAAACCGGTTCACCATTCGCAGTTCGTCCCGAGGCAATCGCATTCCCTGGA